CCTCCCAAACCGGCTCATCAACAAACTCCCAAAAAGTCCAGAATTCTGCTGCACGATTAATCAAAGAACTAGAAAATCACCCCTGTACTGAGGAATCTACACTGGCTTAAGATTGTAGACAGAATCAAGTTCAAAACACTGACTAACTTTCCGTGGATACCACTGAGGCACCTCCCTAGCTCAACAAACTTATTAACAAATACCAACCTGCAAGATCTTTGCGATCCGATCCGATAGCCAACTCCTACTGACAGTTCCCTCCGCCCGAACATCTTTTGGAAATAGCTTCCAAATTGTAGCTCCACGGCTCTGGAATTCTCTCCCTTTTGAATTACGATCTTCTCAGAACATAGAAACATTCAAATCACCCCTGAAAACCTACCTCTTCACCTCATGTTACGCCTGAACTGCAAACTCCCCGTGTATATAGACTCACTGTTGTACATATTCCCCAGGACAATTCATTGCCCAAAAGTGGTTTTGAGCAGTTTAACCGAACTGGAAATAAGCACTGTATAAATATATATTTATTATATTATAGGAGTCAGGGGACATGTCAATAGCGAGTGTGACCATGGCCATCGTACACGCCCATACATACCAACACCCCTCATTGACGTCAGTTGGCGGAAGACGTCAGCTGCAATCCTGTTCCGTAAGTCCAAGAGAGTCTGTTCGAGTTCCTGTCGGTTCGCTGGAGGTGATACACGCCGTCTCACCTGACGATCTCAGAGATTTTCAATGGGGTTCATGTCTGGAGAACGCACTGGCAAAGGCAATACGTTGACAAACGTTGTGCAGGCATTCTCGATCAATTCTGGTTGTGAATCCCTGCGTTGCCGTGCTGCAACATGACTCCTCCTGGCTGCTGTTTTGTTGTTCTCTAGCCACAAATGCAGCCTCATACCATGACACCTCCATCGAACGAATGAACTTCTTGAGCGCAGTTTGGCACCAGTCGCTCTCCTCTACTTAAAAAAACTCAAACTCTGCTATCGTTTCTGAACAGACTGAACCAACTTTCATCTGTAAACAGCACTCAACCAGTCACGTCTCTGCTACCGTCGTATTGTTAGTGCCAAATGCAGTCTGCGTTGATGGTGAAGACGGGTAAAGGCCATTCCATGGAAGGGGCAGTATACCAGCCATACCAAGTCATCGATGGATTGTTCCTCTGGTAATGGCTTCTCCTAGTCTTCGGAGTCTCAACTCTTGGTCTTCCCGATCTTGGGCGGATTTGTGAAAATCTCTTTATCCACGCCATTTTAGGCTGGGACACCACATCTCGTCTGTTTGGGCTGGGAAAAGTTCCCGCATTAAAGAAGGTGACACATGTCATTTTCAATGATCAAGCCAAGTTCTTCAATCAAGAAAAACACGTGGCCACAGATGATATAAGCAGGAGCTTCATTGTAACAGTGTCAAGGAGGAAATCCTTGATTCTTTAAGAAACATTGGTTTCTGTGACAAAGTACCCAAATGTACTTCTGTGGAACCACACTCTTCTACTGACTTCAGCAGCTGCAGGTTACCAATCTGAAAGTGCACTGTCAGGTAATGGCATGGAAGGGAAAACATCTCAGCCTGAAACCGTAGAACTGGTGTTGGCACATTGTGGATGGAATGTGTATGGCAATACAAACCGATCAACCAACAGCACCACCAGAACTGCTGGATGTGATTTGCTGCAAGAAGGATGGCAACACAAATATACTAAGCAGCAAAAGAAACGTCAGTTTGGAATTTTCCTTCGCAGAAACGGATAACTGTAAACTCATCTAATGTTTTGATCGTATATTTTTGACATCTCAAACTTTACCTGTGCAAAGACATTCCTTCCCAAACTCAGAATGGAACCCGGGAAATGGTCTCAAAAACGCAACCTGATCTCGGATATGGTACGGTGTTCTCCATGTATCTCATGCTGCACGTGCTGTTCACATGGACCAGCCCTATAAAATGCACCCCCAAACCTGGTTGAAACATTCACATTACAAGGTCAGCAGGATGCCGTGACTCACGACAGCTCAGAGGAACCAGGCGCTAGGAAGACCCCTTCATGCAGGCATCTGACACGGCACGCCAGACAGTGGGAACACACGGAAGACCAATCAGTACTGATACAGTACGCCGATGTCTTAACAGCGGGAACCTTACTGTGGACCTATCCTCACCCCTCGTCATCGGCGTGAACGTCTACTGTTTGCCTTACAACACCAAAACTGGCGATACAGGCAATGGAGAACTGTTCTCTTCACAGATGAGTGGGTACTGCGTATTAACTGCAGATGGCAGAACAAGAATATGGCGACGTGGCCAGCGTTACTCAGACCAATGTGTTATGGAAAGAGACTCATGGGGAGGTGCAAGCATCATGGTATGGGGTCGAATTGGCCTGAACCAGATAGTGGGTCCTGTGGTGTTCCAGAACCTTGGTCCAGGGAGAGGTGGCGGCATCACAGCGGTGCGCTACATCGACCAAGCTCTGACCACATTTTCCAGCATAACGCCCGGGTCCATACTGCCATAGCTACACGTGACTTCCTACAGCAGAACGGTGTCAACATTATGCAGTGGCTAGCACTTAATCCTGATTTAAACCCAATTGAACATCTTTGGGATGAAATTCAGGAGACTGAATAATGTCATACCAAGGCCGAACACAGCCGCTTTATTGCGCCAGGCCTTTCTCAGTGTGGTTCCAGGTACCAATGGCCTTCAATCGATTGGTGCACTCCATGCATAGACGCTGTGCTGCAGTTATTGCCGCTCGTGGTGATCACACTAGATACTGACGTCAAGAGTCTGAATGGACTGCAAACGTTCACGTAATATCTTGGAATTGTGCCGAGTTATTCAATTATGTGTCAGGATATTGTACACACAAAAAATGTTTTTCGTCCGCTTATTATGTCCATTTCTGTTATGATTTCATTACAGTGCTTATCTAATTTTGAATTCGTACTGACGTTTCTTCTGCTGCTGAGTATAGTTTTATGTGCAAGAAGTATGGTCTGCATTGCACCAGCATGTGCAGAGAACGCCGTGGTACAAGTTGCAGAAATGACCAGTTGCATGATTTATCGGAAAATGACGTTTGAATTTTGACATTGACGTTTCAATCAGAACTGTTCATTTCAATATCAATTGTTACAGAAGATATTCTGATTTATTTTAGGAGTCCTATCCCATTGTACATGTAAATTCACACTGTGGATGTATGTGTATCAATAAATTGATGTGCGGTCATATTGCGTTTGTGTAATTTAAGGTTGGGAAATGCGATTTTTCAAAATATAGCCATAGGAGCATACTTTTGGCCTAATTTCGTAACAATCTGAAGTTCATATTTGGTATTTATAATTAACTTCACATCAATTCTTTTGGAACATACCCTAGAATCATGGTCGAGTCTAAATAAGACTGTCTGCGAATTTTACCAGTTTCAAAACATAAATCGTTAAAATGTCTTCTGTGAAATATATAAAAAATAATTATTGATATTTGGCGGCCATATTGGACTTATGAAATTTTAACAAATTTCCCAAGCTGGGATTCCTTAGGACATTTGGTATGGTGTTCTAAGGTCATTGAATGCACTGTGGTGAAAACATTTGTTACAATTTGTTCCAAGTCAAATGTTACTTTGCCTGGACTATTTCGGGTATTTTAGAACGGAGGGTTCACAACCAACGTCAGCGTTCGCAGAATTTGCAACAGCTTGTGCAGACCTTTTAAGAAGAATGTCGAAAGAGGCAATCTTTTGAAAGCAGCAAGAAATATTAACCTCCCGATTGACTGGTTGTTCCTATTCTCAGCTATGGTTGTGAAATCTGGGGACATGAATCACTGGAAGTAAGTTATTGAAAACGTTCATCTGAAGTTTCTGAAACATATCTGTAATCTTAAAGTATCTACCCCAATTCACATTGTCTATTGATAAACTGGTAGGTACCCTCGAGAATTGTAAAGCGATTGATTAAATATTGGCACACTCTTGCTGTACCTAAAATATCAAACGTTAAATTATCTCACCTTACACAACTTCGTTACACTACAAAAACAGCACTATCGCTATCAAGATAAGTGGTTAAATTTTATCGAATATACGTTAAAATTACTTGGGTCTTAGTAATATTGGTAAGAGTTCCTCCCGTTCCCCCATCCCAAATAATATGTATAAATATTCTAGAATTATAAACAAAATTTAACACAACAATTACTAGAGAACTCACAAAATGATTAAAAGTCAAAAATTATGTTAGGGTTAGGTTTAGAGTTTGGGGAACAGAAGGAACTCTTTGTGGAAAAATAAATTATTATTCCCAATTGCATGGAAATATTGATGAGAAGAATTAGAAAGGTGTGCGATACATACAATTTAGATATTTGTTTCAGGTATCAAAGCTTTTAATGTAATGCCTCCTTGACGTCGAAAAAGTCCGACGAACTTAACATCCATTTTACTGATCACGGACAGTTGACCACACAAGGACTTTCTCATTAAATAGTTCTTTCTAGCATGTAGAAATTAATTCCCAAGATGTACATTTTCTAATATATATTTCTGATATATTCTTCGTTACTACCACCACTAGGCTGTGTTAGAAATGTGACAGGTTCACATATACTTCGTGATACCAGTGTTGAACTACCAGTAACAAGGGACTAATTATTGATTATTCAAAGAAAACAAATGTAACTGACACTTACCTGGATAACAAACGATAAGATATAACGTTCTTAAGTTGAGAAGCTGTACTCAAATCTTCAGTGCCGAAGACAAGAGTTTCCACTTCGACATTATCTCTCGCGGTGCCTGGCACATGTTTCACATACGGGTACTTGCGCATGCAGTTCCTGTGTCAATGTTGTGCTCGTGCAAGTCGTGCCATGTCGCCAGGATGAAACCCCCTTACACCGCCCGTGCACATCGTGCTTGTGGAATTCAACAAGAGCGTCATAAGGGAAGTGGTCAAAGTCACTTGCGGAATAAGACAAAAATCATTTGGGTATCGACATTACACCCAAGCCATTATTTTGACTTGACATACAGTAAAAGCACTTTCTAAAATTATTTGCCTATGGTTTTGGTAAGTTCCTCCCGTTCCCCCCATCCCAAATGATTTGTATAAATTAATATACACTAAATAAAATTACAAAACCTAACTCAACAATTACGAGAGAACTCACAAAAATAACTAAAACCCCCGAATTAATTCCAATATATAGGGTCGGACCATGTTGTATGATAAGGGCTCCAGGCACGGTAATGTTACAAATATAATATGGGGAAGCATAAGAAACACTTTAAAACGTTGAATATCATTTTTGTTTTTCTTCAATTTTTTACAGATTTACTCGTACATGGGCTCAAGTGGATGGAACCAGCAATAGTGAGTGAGTGAATATAGTTTTACGCTGCTTTTAGCAATATTCCTGCAATATCAAGGCGGGGGACACCAGAAATGGGTTTCACACATTGTACCCATGTGGGGAATCGAACCCGGAGTGTCGGCGTGACAGCGAACGCTTTACCACTAGGCTAGCCCACCGCCCGGAAACCAGCAATAGGTAACAAGCTCTACAATGAACAGTTCAGTGCACTTAGGAATGCCCGAATTGTTTCCCGGACAAATGTCTTTAAACAAATGTTTTCTGCACTTCAATTCGGAATAGGTGTTTGCAGATAATAATCTAATCAGCACCAAATGTCGCAACTGGCCTCGACCTAAAACAAATGTACAGCCAGCCCTCTAGAAACTTGCAGATGAAGACATCAAGCTTTGGCGTATGGTTTTAACAACCAGGGGTGATAATCCTAACGAAACTTGCTGTTAAAATAGGGTCACAAAAGCACTGGACATTTTACCAGCGCTTCAATCATTTGCTGACACAGCCACATAACGGTACAGATGGCACATTTGAAACTGTCTCATCCAGAGAATGTAGTGAATATTATTTTCTCAAACACAATTCAGTTACCTAGTATAGTTATATTTTTGATGAATGTGTGACATTGTGCAGTCTCATATAAACACTGACTTATGTGGTTTGTGACGGGTGGCAGCAGTGGGACAGGATACCCAGACATTTTCACAGACACCAGCCTGCTCTCATCTCTACCTGATGACTCATGAACACATGCTCAAGATCTACTCAGAAACATATCCGCTATCTTTCACGATGTCTTATGAATATTAGGGCTGCAATGATTCACACAGACCGATTCGATTATTTTCCATTCAATTCTTCATACATGCAAAATGACTCTCAGAGTCGGCTTTTTTTATGGTGAAATCCATCGTGAACTTGGTGATGTCTACTAACAACTGTCATTTTATAAGTAGCCTGGCGTCAACCAATCACATTTCGTCTTATTTCGCTCCAAACTGCTCGAGTTGAGTCAAAATTACGTTCTGGCTGTGTGGAAATAATTTAAATAGGTATTCAAATATTGAATCAAAATAGTGATAATGGTTATCGAAAAGCGAAACTAAGGTGTCAGATTCGATTTCCGATGAATCAAACCAAATCGTTGCAGCCCTAATGAATATGGACAATTGTCACTGTTGTCTTTCAGTGGCATTTAGAAGTTGTACATTGATGTCCAAGATATTTTTATGGATTAAACTTCTTTATAAGGTCCCTTCATCAGGTGAACAATTTAGCTTCTCTGTAACAAGACAATGTGCAAACTTCAAACATACATAAAACGTACAAGTTCACCTGATGAAGGGACCCTCAAAACGTCATGAGGGATATTATAGAGAAGTTTAATCCATAAAAATATCTTGAATTGTCACTGTTATTTGAATATATGTGTTACTTGATCTTAAATTTTTGGAAAGACTTCCGGCCGTATCCCCACTTAAATTTCATTCTAGTCAAATCATATCACCTGATTATATATTCCTCGTCTGATAATGATGAGCTTTAACATGTTTCCTTAATCGTATTTTAAAATACTGTAAGCCATATCAAACTTCTCAAAATGTCACTCAAAGAATGTTTTCCTCATCGTTGTAAGGTGATATGGGCAGAAGTCTTACCAAACGGTTTGCTGCTATAGTGTTCCACCTTTGACATGATGCCTTGCCTTGAGGCACGCTGGATTGGGCCAGTTGTTGATGGTATACCCTGACATTCTCCCTTCTAAAGGAATTCTCTATTGACAATACATGTGTGGTGCAATAATGTAATGATGTGATCTTGTCCAGGTGTTTTATTTTAGATCTACTACACCCAGAAGAACAGAACAAACACCACATTTCTCTTATTGTTTAATCAGTTGTTGAGAAAGAGCCTGTGATAGCACTACTGATAGTGAACGGCTAATGCTGACCAAGGTCTGCCACAAATGGCTGTCCATTGTGAGAGGTGGACAACCCTTGCCTGTACACACAAGCCCTAGACACTAGTCTTCAACCAGCAATATACCACAAGGAAATGGTCCAGAAATTCTTGTCAATAATGACTCACAATTTAGCTTCTCTGTAACAAGACAATGTGCAAACTTCAAACATACATAAAACATACAAGTTCATTCATTTGGACAAAAACAGTGATCACATGCAAAGGATTACATTCTTTAGAAACAAGAACTTTTCTTAAACAGTGGTTTAATTTTCTCCTATATTCCCAGGGTTACAGTATTTTGGGGGAAAAACTATTTTTAGCAAACACACTACTGTACATGTTTGGTCTTAAAAAGAATGGCTCATGAACCCTCTGTATTAATTTTCTAATTATCATTATTCATTCATGTATCACAAGACCCAATGTATTTCCCTGTCTTGAGGCATCTACCTTATATTTGGCAACTGTAAAGTAACCTTCAAAAATAAACTAACAGGCTGTTGTTGTTTTTATTGAAATCGTATCTTCATAATTTTCCTAACTTCAAAATTTGATTCAGCAATATAACCTAAAACAATGAGCTTTTTACATGGAGCATCCATGCCTCATATTGACAAAACCTTAGAACAAAACAAATCAAATGGGCCTGACCTTATTATATATAATTACAAGCTCCTCACAACCACGTTGACAAGGATGCCCAACATTGGGCCATTACTTAGCATTGCATGCTGAGAGACTGTACAAAAGATCACACCGGTGCTCACTATAAAACATTTAGTGACATTGCTAGCTTTAGGCCAGGCAAATAAATGCAGATATGAAAATATATAGCATATGATATATATGGACATTTTGTCCATTGCAATAAGACATTACTTGACTTTACTTCACACCCACATTAGGCATCAGAAAAATAGGGCCACAAGGATCTGTAGCTCACTTGAACGTTTCTGGAATAGCAGATCAAATATGGGTAGGTGGAGATAGCAATAGCAAGGTGCAAAATTTTAACATGCTTACAAAAATATGTCATTCAACATACTACACATCAAATTTCATAATACTTCCAGCCGAAAGGTCAGAGTAATGGCCAAAAGTTTGATTGGAGGATTGGTTGCCGAGAAGTCTAAAATGTAAAAGGTTCATGACAGGTCGAGTTACAATGAACCAAAACGTGATCTCTCTTGACTTAATGCCCTGTGAACTTTTACAGGTGGGAAGAATTACATTGGAGTGAACGGAGGACCTGGTTAAAAGAAACAGCCTTCAATGTGGCCCTTGTGACGAAGAGATCAAGGCTCATTACCTTCACATTGCTTTCATGAAACATGGCATAAGTTATCTGATTCAGCACAACACCATCACACAGAAAATTAAACCTTGTTCTATACAAGTGGAAAATATAAACAAATTTACCTGAAAAGTGTCAAAGCTCTAAAAATCCAAGCGCCAATAAAATAATTTGGTATGATCAGTTTATGTTCTATTATGTCAACTGGTTGAAGATATATGAACAAGTTTAGAAAAATACATTCTGGCAAAATGAAATGATGTATGATGTTCATTCAATTGATACCCAAGGAACAAGCTCTTATTGGATGTGCCCAGTAATTAATACTAGTAATTCAGATGGCCATATTAGCACTGCATAATTCATTCTGGTTCAGGTTATTGATGTCAAAGAGCATGAAAAGAGTTAATTCAAAAAGGATGTCTGTCAACACTGCACATTCAATAATTTGTTAAAAAAACAGCAGAATCAACCCTGGTTACAATCACTACTTATCATAGCATGTACATCATGCATTTAGACAATCATCTGGTTACCAGGACAACCAGACAAGGTCTCATCTACCTTCAATTACTTTCCATTTAACTATTTTTTCATATTGTCATGACTTTTATGCTAAGATCAACTAATTCTTACAGCAAATCATTAACTGATAACTTGGGGAGCAAAAGAGTAATGTAACATAGTTTTCTCACACTGGTTGCCAGTTGATCCATCTCTGCCTCGAGCAACATTGCAATTGCATCCTGACTGAAAACATCATCTGATAACTTACTTGTAAAACATGGCTGATATGCACCATCTAAACATGTGACAAAACTTTTCTTCAAAACACTCAACTTTGGGAAATATCAATTATTTGGGGAATAATTGGACAGCATCCTCGATAATCTCCACTATACCCTGGATGCATCTACGGCTCGGCCCCATGATTTTAATACCTCTCTTTGCTGGCTCCACATTCTCACAGTAGCCAATCAGCTAAGCCGCCGTTACAACCGAGCCTGCCAGTGTCAACAAAGATAGCGGTTGCAGCTGTGAAGGTTTGTTCGCAGTGCGACTCAGATTTGGGGGGAAATCATACAAATTGACAGGTCTGAAACCTTCAAAAATATATGAAAGAACTCTTTCTAACTCTTTCAGAGTACCTTTGCAACAATTATGTTGCCAAGTTGGTACGCTCAACTTCCCCAGCATAGACACCTGATTGTATAAAAAGCCAGCCAAGGGAGGTAATAAAATCATGGGGAGCTGTAGATGCATCCAGGGTATAGAGGAGATTTATCGTAACGTATACTCTGGAGATTATCGAGGATGGGTGAACAGGAGTTCTCTGAATGTCATGTTGGAGGAGTTTGTGTTGGCCTGTAAGTGAGTTTAGTTTTATGTCACACTCAGAAATATTGGAGCCATATGGTGGCAGTCTGTAAATAATCAAGTCTGGACCAGACAATCCAGTGATCAACAGCATGAGCATCGATCTACACAATTTGGAACCGATGACATGTGTCAACCGATCGAGCAAGCCTGACCAACCTAATCCTGTTGGTCGCCTCTTACAACAAGCATGGGTTACTGAATGTCATTTCGTACCCGGATCTTCACAGGTCCATCTGACAGTGAAAGAAAGGTAAACCAGCCTTGTGACCAAGCTTCAATGAGGAACATGTATATCCAATGCCTAATGTTCGCATTCCAAAGAAGCAAGAATGCAGTCACTTTGTGTGAAATGTACCACAAAAAAATGATATCCTGAAAACAGGATTAATGTCCCCACCAATCTCACCCATTGACAGCCATTTCTTGTAAATATTAGCCATAACTGATTTCCTCTGAGATCCCAATACAAAGCTGAATTTTCAAAGAAGCAATGATGTATGTTGAACATGACATGATACATGACAATAAACATAAAATTGACATAGAGGCAAAATCTAGCACCAAACGGGGGTTAATTTGTGTCTAGAGGTTAATTAAAAACAGCAGAATGTCCTAATTAATGCTTTTCCAAGATTCTGTGAAAGGCTGAACAAACACAAAAGATGTTCCATATAAAAAGACAAGGCTGTTTGTCATGTGGACATTATGACAATGTATGTAAACTTAGATTTCAACCTTATTCTCATTTCCAGTGTTTGGTAACTGTTGTGATATCAACTCTTCACATTCACAAAATCAGAATACATGTGTGGCCAAGTATGTGAATATATGAACATCACAAGCAACAAAATGTTAAAGAAATCAAAGTACAATTAGAACAATACATTTAACAAATATCATATGAACAGATGTGCATTTCAATATACACACCCCAACATCTGCCATCCAAATCAGTAGCATACACTTTGAGGAGAGATATATGTGTGTATACATACATACAATGCTTTTCAGGGACTAGGGGGATAAACAGATCCCCTTCAATAAAAAAAACAAACAGAATAGGCTTTGTCACGGTAAAGATTTGGTATAAATGGACGAACTCAAGAATGGCACCTGGGTATGGACAAAGGGAGGTAACTCTAAACTGCACTGAGACAAGAAAATAACTTATGTCGGTTGGCGGGGGTTATTATCAGTGATCATGCCCGGTATGAACTTTAGGGCCAAGGCATTCCATCAATCAAATACAGGGGGCCTTTACTCTATTTCTAGGGTCATGAAGTTATACCTTTCCATGTTACTGTACTTCAGGCAATGGATTAGAGAAGCATACAGTCAAGAAATTATTTTTTTACACAAAAATTAGTCATGGCACTGGACAGTCTTAGGATTTCACGGTTTAGTTATCATTTTGCATAAAACATCTGCAGGACTTATATTTAATATTTATCGGAAATAAAATCAGTGCTTTGACTTAATCAACATTTACTCGAGTACATGGGAGACCTGTGGCTATTTCTTTCCCAGAAGGGAGATTAACCGTTCATGGGAAAATACAAATTAAATGTGGGTTGAATTTGTGTATCACTTACTGTTACAATCATCACAAGTCTAATGTATACGCCATGGAGTATAGGACCACATTGTACAAAGCTATCTCAGCACTAAGATGGTCTTTAACATGAGATTTTTAACATAGGCGACAATCTTATCACTAAGATTGCTTTGTGCAACAAGACCCTGATCATCTTAGTGCAAAGACCCTTTTGTGGACCTGGGTGCCATTGTACAAAACAACCTTAGCGCTAAGGCTACGTTAAGTCTATGTTAAGGTATGGGAGTTACGGTCACCTTAGCGCTAAGATCATGTACAACGGCACCCTGGCCCCAGGGTGCCGTTGTACAAAGCAACCTTTGTGCTACGACAGTTGTACATCAGTTACGAAGTCCTCTCCAGTAATCTTAGTTTTTATCAGCTGACAGGGCAAAAAAACGGGAAATGAGTCTCCCTCACAAAAGTACGAAGTGGTGCACCCAATCTTTCTCTCCCAGCCCAGCAAGCCATGAGGGAAGTACCGACACCAAGACTACACTGCAAATCTGGGTCTAAATAAGGTTGGTAAGTTAGGACAAACATTCATATTAAAACACACACACTGGTGATTTGAGATAAATATTTCTATTGCATGCTAACTATCACCATGGCAACAGACACATCTTGAAGTTGTTAGTGTTGAGCAAAGTATAAAATATTGTACAGGGATTTAGTATTATCTAGCAACCTCTTGAAGACTAACAGAGCTAAGAAGATATAAATTCTTCATCTTTGGCCAAAAACAACTGAGAACTTATCCTAACAGATTCCACGGATTGGGAAGTATTTTCTTGACAGTTGAATCTATTCTTGAAACCGACAGCCTTCAACGAAACTAGCCATCTTGATTATAGAAACTGAAAACAGGTATCTTTCGTCGTCATGGTAAATGAAATACTAAGCCAGACTGTGATGAAAAAGCTCAATGATTTTATTAGTGTCAATTTCTATCTGTTCAAATGTCAATATATATCTCTGCTAAATACTAATCAAGCTGTCTTTGATGAAGATGACCAGAAGCCTTAATGCTAGAGATGGCATCACAGACATAAGCTTTCAATAAGTTTAACATTACAAAATGCCAAAACATAAATGTAACAGAACACAAAACCAATAGAAAAATCATTATTCACAGAGCAATGCAGCAAACTGTCCATAGACACGTGGCTACAAACCGTCGACATGGGTAATGTCACATCCGACGGCATGTTAAGTAGTCGTCTATTTCAGGAGGGATGTATATATATCTTACATTCATACATAATTACACATGTACACAGTGCCTATACATTGAAGCTAGCCATGCAGATCTACCGACCTGGACGTCAGTCAAACCGGCCATCACAAATTGTGAGCAGTTACTTCTTGGTTATACAGTATGTACAATTTTACAGGTGTCATATTCGACTATACAGTATGTTCAGAGAAAGGAAAGGAAGTATTGACAGAGTAGAATTCCATACATGACAGGACAGGTTCAGACAATCAAGAAGGTAAACAGGAAAAGTAGAAACCAGTTCATGCAATTGTTGTGCCAGACCGATATAATTTCTTGTTTCATGGACACCTCTCATGAATTTGCAAAAAAATAAAACAGTAGTTGTTATCAAAATACTGATGTTTCAACATGTATACATAAAGAGGCTTTTGTGTTTGTTACTTTTTGTCCCTTACCTGCCACTTTAGACAGAAGTGAGTGAGTGAGTTTAGTTTTACGCCAGCAATATTCCAGCTATATGGCGGCGGTCTATAAATAATCGAGTCTGGACCAGACAATCCAGTGATCAACAGCATGAGCATCGATCTGAACAATTGACTTTAGACAGAAAAATATTAACCATCATACATGTGTGAATAGTGAGTGAGTGAGTATGGTTTTATGCCGCTTTTAGCAATATTCTAGCAACATCATGGCGGGGGACACAAGAAATGGGCTTCACACATTGTATCCATGTGGGGAATCGAACCCAGGCCTTCAGTGTGACGAGCAAACACTTCAACCACTAGGCTACCCCACATATGTGAATAAAGAAATCACATAGGTCTGTCTTCGTTAGTATGTCATACACAATCATGAGATTAAACAGACAGATACAGAAATGATCCTTGAACTAAGTTTCCACAATGGGATTCAAACTCAGACCATCTGCACAACCAACTGAAACATCCATTAATGTGTATTTATACCAAGGGTAGATGCTCATGCTATAGTGAACATACAAACAGTACACAATATGATCAACTTCATACATTTCCAAACTAGACAACTTAAATGTATTGCTGTAATGTTTTCCTTTCAAATAAAATGTTCTTTAATATTACAGTGTACACTAGTTACAAAACGAGTAACAAAATCATATACAAATAAGAGTAAATCGAAATGTATATAATCACAGGTACAATCTTCAGAAAGTTGTCAGATTCAGACAGATATAGGATGCCCATTTATTATCAAGGAATGGGTACAACAGGTGATTTTTTTCCTGAAAAGGAAATCCCAGAATGGCCGTATTCCAGTCACCGTATAAAGGGGGTGGTGCTATCATCAGCTATGCCGTGAAGAGATGTTTGCAACATTCACATGACACAATTAACGATTAGCTCTTGTGTGGACATCACTGTCAATCTAATGTAATGAACACATAATGACATGTGACAAGGTTTATCCAACAGTCAAAGTGAAACAAGGTTTATCTAATGTAATCAAGGAACTGAAATGTCCAATCAATCTATGACAAGAAAGCACCAATGACAATCTATGACAAGGCATATGTAGATCTTACAATCCTGGGAGGACAAGACCAAGCTCTTGCAATCAAAAGAGGGCAAAGCCCACCTCTTGCAATAAAGGGAGGACAAGTCCCACCTCTTGCAATAAAATGAGGACAAGTCCCACCTCTTGCAATCAAATGAGGACAAGGCCAAGCTCTTGCAATCAAATGAGGACAAGGCCCATCTCTTGCAATCAAGGGAGGACAAGGTCCAGCTCTTGCAATCAAATGAGGACAAGGCCCATCTCTTGCAATCAAGGGAGGACAAGGCCCAGTTCTTGCAATCAAATGAGGACAAGGCCCATCTATTGCAATCAAGGGAGGACAAGGCCCAGTTCTTGCAATCAAATGAGGACATGGCCCATCTCTTGCAATTAAGGGAGGACAAGGCCCAGTTCTTGCAATCAAATGAAGACAAGGCCCACCTCTAGCAATCAAAGAATGACAAGGCTCAGCATGCTTAGTATGCCCTTGTGGCAATGAATGACGTTATCTAGCTGTTCCACACCAAGAATGACAATGCCTACCCTTTGCAAACAAAGAATGACAAAGTCTAGTTCTTGCAACGAAGGGATGACAAAATCCTTCCCATATGATAAGTGAATATAGCAATGAAAGCCAAGTCCTGGCTTGTATGTTACAGTGAAGCTTCATGACTGATTGGACAACAGTAACCATGTATAGACAGTTGGAGATAGAATATAGATTATCTTAGATTAATAGGAGATTCTATACATACACATTGTTCTGTACAGACTTCTATACAAAGCACATCTATTTCACACAGCAATCCACAGGTTAGCCTGCCTGAAGTTGTCCATCACAAATTCATCATATTAAAACAGGCAGAAATATATCTGAATAAAACTTCAGACCACACTTAACTTAAAATAATTTTCAGACAATCGTAACCTTCATCACCAGAGAAACTAAACTGTGTGGATCTCATGGCAATGAATAAAATAGCTATGCCAATTCACATCAGCACTACCTGTTTGGTATGAGAGTGACAAGTATGGCCTGTGTAGCTCACATCTAAACGAGTGGCTGAAAGCATTAAGGCAAGTGGCAATGTTTTCACGGAGCTGGGTGTGGATCTGTGAGGCAATAACTGCTGCTAAACAGAATGAAGACTGTTCACAGTGTTGCATCTGGATGATGTCGGTCCTGAAAGTGGGACCTTCTTCGTAAACATGGTTCTCTTATAATAATGACACAAACGATGTTTCCCCCATGTTAATGCATATCAAACAGATTTCTCACACTTCATGCATGTTTCCAAACATTCTTTGACATGCGATACGTTAAGTAGTTCTTCATGTGGGCTTGGAGATCTCATCCAATATAGGGGTGGATTTGGAAACTCCTTCGTTGTGTTGTCTAGAATTTTTTTGAATTTTTCAACTATTAGATTGTTAAAACAAGTCCCAAATTACATAAATGAATCCTTAAATTATGCATGGTGCAAGGATAACATTTAAAATCAATTTACAAAATATTTCAAGCTAGTTTACTGTACAGGGCTGTCTCATTTGACATCACCTAAGATCAAACTGCTCAATCTTCTGCCCATTGTTTATACATCCAGAACTCACTGACTAGGAACAGTAAACAATGCTGCGACATATTCTTCAACCATGTCATGGAGGTGGCCTATAAGTCAAGTTAGATAGCCAAGGCCTAACTCATGTTATAAGTGAGGTCATGTGAAATGTACAAATGGTATCTGAATCATACACAACCTATGCAAAATGTACACCTGGCATGTGAAACCTACACAAGCTGTATAAAATGTACACATGACATGTGAAACAACGCATGCTTTGTGAAATGTACACCTGGCATGTGAAACATACACAAGCTGTATGAAATGTACACACATGACATGTGAAACAAACGCATGCTTTGTGAAATGTACACCTGGCATGTGAAACATACGCAAGCTATGTGAGATGTACATAAGTCGCATGAAATGTACATAAGTCCCACCCACCAGATGCAACACCGTGGCGACACAAACATAACAAGACTTCGAAATACAGCTGTGCCAACCTACATCCAGCAGCAGAAACACGGACGAAATAATAATAAATTATCACAGCATACAATAAGTTGATCATATCTTCTTCAGCAGGCTCAATAAACACTTGCATCAAGATAGTCACCAATAGTGGCTTCTCCTGTATCACAGTGAGTGTCTCACATTAGAAAGGCCGCCTGTGGTTGGACAGCCTCTGAGAGGAAGTACTTCCAGTCTGCACCAAATAGGTTTCAACACATAGACACATCACTGTCATGGTCCGCTGATGCCAACATATGCATAAGAAGTCGTGGGGAGGAGCAAGATGGGTGGTTACTTGCGCTTGTTCTTGCTCTTGATGTTTTTACTGAGACTCTCCTCTTCTTGCATTTCTCGGCGGAAAGTTGACACTTTTTCTGCAAAAAGGATGGATTTGTATTGTGACGATCTGTTTGATTGGCATTTTAGAAATTGATGAATCATAAGAAAAAACAACAGAACAGAGCACTCCAGCCAACATTGCTAAATAATCCCATGTGCTATGTATATTTTGTTCTGCCTCCTCAACTATTGGCTTCATCCTATGGTTACTGCATTATTACCTATTCCATTGTCATTGTTAATCCCTTTGATGTATTCCCTCATGTTGTCTTACTTAATCCCTGTTACATGTATATAAGTCGGTTCTGTGCTGTATTACATTACTCTTGCTTGACAACGGCATAAGATGCAATGCTGGAACGTCGCATCATAATAAAATAAAGAAGTTGTTATCCATAGAGTATTATACTTTTCTTTGTATTGTGACATGAAAGAAGTCGAGGCTCTTTAACTCTGCCATGCACATCACACCCTAAAGTTCCCTAAAATATGTATTGTGTTTACGTTACAGTTTGTCTTGCAGGAAAGAATTGTTAGTAAGACATAACTGTACCTGTCCAGTACTGAGACAGTAAGGAAACAAGAAGACTAATGAAGTGTAACTAACCTCTAAGATCAGTGAGAGCTTGAATCTTCTTTGCCAAGAGCATGTCCAGTTGCTTGGCATATGCTGAAATGAAAACAAAGAACTAACAACTGTACGACAGTAGGATTAAACACCACTTCCTGAAACAATGCTTGTGAGTTACAGCTGATACAGTTGACAAGAACTCGACAGAATGTCATAAGAACACAAGAAAAGTTGCATGACACAACTGATGAAGGTAGTAATGATGAGGATGAAGAAGATGATGAGGATGATATTACTGTCCTACCTTCCACATCATAGTCTACTTCATCAGTCAGCTTCACCAGCTTCTTGTCTTCAGTCAGCCACTTCATGGAGTCAGCCACTTCATGAGGTTTTAACAGATAAATGAGAAACAACACACATTGAGGAGGAAATAACCCATTTTTAAGGTTTGTGTGTTGGCAAGCAAAGATATCACACTGTAGAAACATAAGATATTCCAATGTTAATTGAGACTGTAAAGTGGAAAAATTATCAGGACAATCACCTGTTAAGTACACTAGCAATTTTAAAGCTGTAAACATATCTTTTAAGAACATGACAAATCACACCACACTCAGATGTTCCATGTTCTTTTGGAATCTACTTCTCACTTTGACAAACCTTTGTAGAATCATGCATGTGACTATCAAAGTAAAACTTCACACATCCAAAGCCAAGGTTCCCAAAGACCTTGGGTGACAAACTTACAACATTTATCAAGTACACATAAATGACAACATTCTAAATATAGGCTCTCTATTTTATTTAAGTATTCTCATTCTACAGCCATCAGTACACTCCCAATTCCTGTAGAATTAGGAAAACACAAAGTTAACCAATGGCCAATAGCACTGCACATCTGCTACTTCACATTTTACACATTGATGGAGACTTTACATCAAAACAGATGCATTTTATCTTTAAGCGCTTTTTATCCTTGAAATATAAACTTCATAAACTTCTGTGGTCATTTTAACAAAAGTGAGGCACAGGTTTGAGAGTCTAAGCACCTGCACACCCAGCTTACCTCTACAACATTGCGATGCTCATCTAGGACCTCTTCCTCTTGCTCCTGCATCTTGTTGACAACCTGGTGGAAGTTGAGCAGCTCCTCTGACACCTCCTCTTGCTGTGGACAGTACACAAACAGTCAGTACAAGGAACTTGTTCACCATCAGGAAGACATTCAGAAAACTTGTATTCTTACATTTAGAGAACTCCTGCTTCATCACATCAAACAACTGATATTACACTTAGAAATTTACACAGAGGACATAGAAATATGAAAAGATGCCCACTGAAATTGGCTATAGCCAGAGTTAGGTATTAGCAAACTCTGCTTTGTCTTCAAGTTTATGTTTCTTGTGAAAATAGAGTATCTGTCACACATTTACATATCACCTACATTGGAGGTCTTGAGTAGGGCCAGGTCACTGTTCTGTGGAGACATGGAGCCAATGGCCAGGTTGTCTGACTGCGCCACCTCGGCAGGTTTCCCCTCCACAGGACCCCCTGGGCCCAGCTCCTTCACTCTAAAACACAGAGATGCAATTATTCAAGCAGCTGGAGGGCACTATCGACTGGACCAGACAACCTAGTGGTTGATATTGTGAGCACTGATCTACGCTGCCATCATATGATGTCAAGAATTGCCAAACCTGGCTATCCGATTCTTTTAATCACTTAACATAACCAGCAATGGTTGTTGACGGCCTACCCGAAGCCGGAGTCCCTACTGGGGTTTTCATCTGTACGTTATCTAGTACATAACAATCAAATGGAACTTACACGCATCATAATCAACAACAGAGTACACTTTCATCTCCAAGCATACAACTGACAAAGTTGGAAGTAATATACATGCTACAAACAATGACTCAAGGGAGGTAACTGTGAACAACAACATTCTATTCAATTTTCGAGGTCCTCCAGCTAACAAGACTAAAATCCATCATAGATATCTAAACAACATGAGACTAATCTCCACTACAGTTCTAAAATTTTACGATACCTAAAGAATATTGGTACCATATCACTTTTTACTTCAGTAAAACTTAAGTAGTTTAACAAAGTGTTTGCCTCAGAACTAACTGGTATTTACTGTAAATGTCAGTTACTATGACAACCTACCTGTAATGTAATTTTTAGAGTAAAATTGATATTTTATACTTATCCTGACTCATGCTCTTTTGCTTGTCTTCTTCTTCTTGCGAACATAGTGGAACACTTGTATCTCCTTATTTGAAGCTCCCTTCAAAATAAAATCACTAATTGGTACTCACCACGAGTTGCTCCCCTTTGTCTCCCCTGGCGGGGAAAGGTGTAAGCCACCCTCTGGCCATGTGCTCCACTCTCTCCTGATTTAGCGAGAGCCCAACACTTGAATTTACAGGGAAATCCAAAGTGTTATGTGGGGGGGAGGATGGGAGGGCTAACCTCATGAGTCAGGATAAGTATAAAATATCAATTTTACTCTAAAAATTACATATTTTTCCTTATCCTGACTCATGCTCTTTGCTTGTAGCATCCCTCTACGGAGCGGAGGTGGGTAACAGAATACTTTGGATTTATAATTAGTGATTTTGTATAGATATACTGTAATATCCCCTCACAGGGGAACTTCATGAAGGCTTAGATTTAGGATGTTTCCTGTATAAAGAAAACCATAGGTTATATAAAGCCATTAAAGGGAATTACATTATGAATATATTGAACAATACATATAAATTATATATATATATATATAGGTGACTCTGATAGAGGCACTGAAATTGACTATATCAAGTATATGCTTAAGGTTGAATACTTAAGCTGAACATATATACATAGCCCTAAAACTCCGTAGAGTTATAAGCTAGATGAGTATGTATAAAATACATATTAATCTTGTGAGGATAATATTTTAAGCCTACTGAGGGACTGTCAGTTGCTGGCGAGGACCAGTGGTCGAAATGGTGAATGCCAGAGACATCTTCTGTAGTGATGTCTCTTAGGTAGTGATTAGCAAATACCATGTTAGATTTCCAATAGCATCCTTCCATAATCGTGTTCAAGGAACAGTTACGTGTAGGAGAGGGTAGAGGCCAGTGCCCTGATCTCATGTGGATTTGATGCTGTTGGTGGGTCCAAGCCTGCTGCCTTGTAGGCGCGGAGAATGACAGTCCTTATCCAAATAGATATTGTGGTCCGTGACACTTCTGTTTGATTAAGTGGCGATAATGGGATGAATAAGCGTTTGAGAAATCTTCTCCTTGTTTTGGATAAATTAAAGTAAATAAACTTTGAAGCTCTTACGGACACAGTGATAGGTCTTGTGTATCTTGTGATCGAGAATAGAGGATAAGCGCCGGGATGTGGAATAATCTGTCTGGTTGACCTGGCAGTTGATTTTTCGCGATGAAATCCCATCTTAATCCGAGTGCGCTGTGTTATGATTGTCATCAAACTGTATCCTCTCGTAATCCAGGCGTGAATTTCAGACATTCTTGCTGCTGTGGCTAGCGATAGCAGAAACAATGTTTTCTGTGAGAGAAATTCAAAGTTTGTCGATTCAAAGGTTCATAGACCTCACTTTCGTGAGGTGTTGTAACACTACATTCAGATCCCAAGCTGGAAGTGGAACTTCGCTTTTGGTCCTCAATCGGAAGCTCGTAGTAAGGCCAGTAACTCTGGAGATCTTGTCAATTTGACACCCGTTCTCATGGTGATTACAGAGCTAAAAGCTGCAAGATATGTTGATATCGTTGAACCTTTTAAATGTTTGTTTTGGCGTAGGTAACACAAATAGTCTGCCACTTGAGGTTGTGAAGCCTCTCTTGCTGTAAACCCTTTCTTTGTTGCATAATTTTTGAAACTGTGCCACTTGTGTGCGTCGTACAAGTTACGAGTTGAGTAGCGTAAAGGCAAAGCGTGACTGCTTTTGCCGCCCTGGCAGAATATCCTCTCTTGTTTAAACACATTTGTATACAGTCCATACGTGTAGTTGGAACATTGCTGGGTTTCCGTGCACTTGTTTGGTGTGAGGATGAATTAACAGGTTTAGCGCGCTTGGGTAGCTCCAGTGTTGGTTGACCGATTTCTTGAATTAGTATGGGAAACCCGCGTTCTGGCCCGACCAGTAGTAGTGACCAAAGTGAGTTGTAGGCTCTGTGTTTGTCTGATTTTCTGTAATACTTGAGGTATTATTGCTGGCTGGCGGCAGCGTCGCGCGTGAGGCCTTCCATGATAGACTTAAGGCGTCCGTTGCCCAAGCTTGGGGGTCTGGGACTGGTGACCACGAATGTCGGTAGCTGATTGTTGAATCGGCGTGGCGAATAGGTCTATTAGCGGCTCCTAATTGCTTGATTATCTGTGCAAAAATTTCCCTGTTGATCATCCACTCTGTCGGTGATGGTAGATGAGGCCGAGAGGCGTCTGCTAGTATATTTCTGGCTCGGGAATGTGCACTGCTCTGACATGTAGATTTAGATCTTGTATTAAATCGAACAGTTGAAAGCTTAGGTTCAAAAGGTTCATCGATCTCGTTGAGCCTTGCTTGTTTATGTAGAGCGCCACTGTCGAATTGTCTGTATGGATCATTAAGTAGCATTTTGTAGAAATGTGCTCCAATGTAGAATGGCGTTGATTACAGCTTTCATTTCTAGACTGTTTATATGGAGTTTGCATTCTTGCTGATTCCATAACCCTGATATCGTGTGGTTGGTGAGATGAGCTCCCCAACCTTGGGTAGTGGCGATCTACATACAGATGGGTTTTGTATTCCTGCTCTGCTAAACAAATCCCTTCGCAGAACATTCGATTTCTTGGTCCACCATAGTAGATGTGGTCTGAGATGTGTTTGGTAGACTGAATGGTTGTACATCGTTGAGATGTCGTTGATGAGACCTGTAGGGGGCGTAACTGTAATCTGCCTGTGACAGTCATGTCTTGGGCTGATGTGAGAAGACCTAGTAGGCTCTGCCATTATGCGCAGTGGTAGCGGAGAGTAGAGCTGGTGGAATGGTCTGTTGTATCTTGAGCCAGCGGTCTTCTGGTACCATAATAATACGGTTGCGATTTGTGATGAATCGAATACCTAGGAACTGTAGGTCTTGCGATGGTACTAGGTCCGACTTGCGTAAGTTTACTAACCAACCTAGTTGTGTTAGTAGCTTTATGATGTAATTTAACTGTAGTTTGAGGCGCAGTGGATCTTGATCTACTTGTATCCCGTCGTCGAGGTAAAAGCGCTCGTAGCCCTTGGCGATGTAGAAATTTGATAATCGGTTTCGTTATCCTCGTGAATAGCCAGGGGCTGATGATATTCGAATGGGAATTACTTTCCACTGGTAATGTAGCCCTTCTAGAGTAAATCGTAGGTATTTCCTGGAATCGGGATGAATGGGGATGTGCAAGTAGGCATCCTGTAGATCTATGCTGCCCATGTAGTCCATAGGGCCGAATCATCTGGCGTAACTGAGGTAAATGTATCATCGCGAAACCGGTGGTTTTGCGTAGATAGTTCTTGTTGAAAAGCTCATGTTGTAGATGAGTCTGTATTTCTCCGTGGAGTTTTCTTGGGAACTAGGAAAACTGGGGAGTAGAAACCTGGTTCGGCGTTTGCTTGATCTATTACTTCTATGGCCTGTTTGGATAGGAGTGATGAAACAGCCTCTTTTATCTTTGGTAGTTATTTAGCTTGTAAATCGAACTTGGGGGTTTGATTGTCAGCGGAGGCTTAGCCTGTAGAGGGATCACGAAATCCGTGTTGAAGAATGTTGGAGGCGTAAAGGGTCTTGCAGTATTCCCCAGTTTTCCCAGTGTAGTTGGGCGTCCACCCACTTGAGCTGGTTGTACTGGAGCGGCTGGGGTGGAAGACTCCAGTCGTTCGAACCTGTGTTTCAGCGTCTATAATTGCGGGAACCTCTGGGTGTCCTGCCTCTTCCTGATCCTCCTCTATAGTTGCCATATGGGCGTGAAAAGAATCTTACCTCTAGAGCTGGCTATCTTCCTGTCTCTTGCTCTTTGTAGGCCCGTGAACTTAGATCTGCCTGAGTATCTTTGTGAAGTCTGGCCGAATGGCAGCTGGCTAGTGTGTCCATCGATCTAATCATAAGGACTTCCCTGGAATCCTTAGAGACTTCCTTGGCGACTTTGTCGATTTCTCCGTCAAAGATGGATGTTGTCGACCGCGGGGCTGTATAAAGTGGGGCTGTAAAGTTCTCCCCAATTACAGGAGGCGAGGAGGCCTTGGCGGCGAGCTAAGGTCAATGCTGCTGAAACAGATGTAAGATGATCCGTTAAAACTGCTGATCTTTCTTTTGCATAAGTAAGGCAGAATAAATCATTCTATCATCTTCCGTCGTGGAATCCGGAATCTAGTAATAAGAGTCTCATTGATGCGTCCTAGATCTATTTAACCCAAAGAACATCACGTCTCGTCATGGTTTCTATATGAGCCAACTTGCGATCATCCATCTTGTAAATCTTGTTCTTTACATGGCTGATGATCTTATAGTTCTCATCGATGTCCTGGGCCTTGTAGAAGGAGTCCATGTTATCGTGGAGAACTTCTTGGCTTGAAAGTTGGGCAGATGTGGTATCTGAACTTTTCGTAGCTTTCTGGAAAGCTGCATCTAGATTCTGTGGCACTGCATATGTCCAGATTCGTCGGGGGTAGAGTGATTGCATCTGGATCATCTTCCTTCATCAAATCGTCTGAGCTGTATTGCCACTTTTAGATGGTGATGTGAGATCTAGGTTATTGACCATCCAATGCCGTATCTCTGCATCAGAAAATATGATTCCTCCATCATCCTCAAAACCATCATCATTAATAAATTGTAGATGCTCGCCGGGACTGCGTGTAGCTGTCTGTATATCTGATGAGGTTTGTGGCGATCTAGTTGACTTGTCGCGCTCTATGTGGAGATCTGATGGGTGATCGACCTGGTGATGAGCGAAGTGGAGATCGTCTATGGGATGATCTTTCGGAGACTTGTGAGGTGAATGTTGATAGCCCAGCGAAGCTCTTGGCAGTCCCTCGATGTTCTTCTAGGCGATGAAGATCTGGAATCATATGTCGCCAGCGAATGCCTTAGCGAAGCTTCATTGCGTCGGTCCGGGGATCGATGATATGACCTTAGCGAAGGCTTCCGTGATGTCTGATGGTCTGAGTCCATATCTAGAGATGAAATCGAAGATGGTGATGATCTCTCCGCCCAGCGAAGGCCTTAGCGAAGAGCTGTACATCTAGGTCCGCCGTCAAGGTGGTGCGGGACTTCCAGCGAAGGTGACATCGTCTTGGCTGCTACGTTAATGGGGGTGCCTCTGGGGTGCTGTCACGTTGGAGCCTTAGCGAAGGCTCGGACCCTGCTTGCGCAGTTTGTAGTGGTCCTCCATGATGTTCATAATCTGCGCATCATGTCTTCTGGGATGATCTGTGGCCGAAGTCGTCGGCGTCTTTTCTGCGATGGGGTTCACATCAATGGCGTCTGGCGTCGGTGTAGAGGCATCAGGCTGCATGGAGATCTCTGCAGAAGTCACAGTCGCTGACACGGTCGCTTCTTCTGCCGTAAGTCGGGGATGATTATCGGCTGATCATCGTAGAGGCCCAACTCTGCTGCTGGAGCGATCTCGGCTGAAAGTTCTTGCTGTCTTCGTAGATTTCCCTTTGGAAGTCTGCGCTGCCCTGGGTGTCCTCAATCTGCGTTGAGGCGGCGATGAGAGCCCTCTTAGACTTAGTCTGCAATGGCCGGGATGTCTGGGGAGGCGGTCGTTTCTTCGAGTAACGGACTCGTCCACGTTCCTCTGCCGCAGGGGTCTCTAGCAGAACACCAGGCGGGAGAGAATTCGATCGCTAGCAGCTGACTGGATGGAATATCTGGACTCTCTGCCATGTTTTGCCCTTGTTTGCGTGATCTATCTGCAGCATGCGTCTTAAGGCCTTAAAGATGATATTTATTAAATGCAGAATGAGATAAATTAATGCAGTAACTGCAAGCGTGAATTAAGCGCGCAGTAGAACAACTAGGGCATATTACATGTGGATCGGAGGGCAAAAGCGTAATCTACAAATCGTACAGATTTTCATGAGCGTAAAGCTAGCTGAACAATCCGCGAATACGTGAATAAACAGTAGAAATACGATAATTAATCAATACAAATAGTAAAGGATACTAGCTATACCTCTATAGTAACCTATGAGAGGTAAAAACTAAGAGATTATCAAAGGGATATGTGTGTAAGGAGACACAAGGCTCTCACATCCTGCTCACACTGAAGAAGGAGAGTGGAGCACATGGCCAGAGGGTGGCGACACCTTTCCCCGCCAGGGGAGACAAAGGGGAGCAACTTCGTGGTGAGTACCAATTAGTGATTTTATTTTGAAGGGGCTTCAAATAAGGAGATACAAGTGTTCCACTATGTTAGCAAGAAGAAGAAGACAAGCAAAGAGCATGAGTCAGGATAAGGTTTATTACCACTCCCTTCAGTGTATGAAGAGATAGAGCCCCCAGTGCAGATGTACTGTAGTAACTCTATGTTAAGGTATGGTGATGTGAGGTGAGGTGAAATGGGGTTTAATGTCGCACTTAAGAATATTTTGCTCATATGACGATGTACATGCATATGTATGTATGGCTGCTTGTACTAGCCCAGACATAAGCTGGTTTTATAGTGCTAGCTCACTGAGTTACCATGCCGTGGTTAACCATGAATACCCCACACAGACACATTATACACTCCAAGACAAACGCCAGGCAGGGATTAACAAGTACCATATTTTAATGTTTTTTGGGTATGACACGGCCTGGGATTGAACCCACGACCTTCCGCTCTCCAGGGGGACGCTCTAACCACTACCCCAGGGAGGCGGAGCAGACAATTTAAGAATAGAACCCTGTAGGTCACCTACCATGCACGTCCTTGACTTCTCCCCTATAAAAGAATCTCGCAGTACTTGGGTCAGCTTGCTGGCCCGGAAAGGTAAGTGAGTCCCCTTCTTCCCCAGGGCTCGGATACATTCCTTTAACACAAACATAGATGCAGATATGTTAACGATGTGATGGCGGCAGTCAGTTGGGTTTAATTACTTCAACAGTATTCAGATGAAGTAATGATGCAAGTCACAGGTATTTTCCAGTTAGGCAAAATCCTGAAGTCAAGGCATGGTACTGACATAATTTTGGGTGAAGCAGATTTTGGCACTGTGGCAGTTTAGCCCATCTGCACTCCCAAAGGTGATAATAGATGAAACCGACCTGGGTGCCGTTCCACTTACCGATCTTACCTAAGATCAATCTTAGGCAGTTACGCCAATTTTACAATCATCTTAGCTAAAAGTTACACCCGTTTCACTAACCGATCGTAGCCAGTGCCGATCTTACGATCCGATCTAAGCTTAGATCGAGACTCTTTCGTGCGACAGGGAAATGCGAGGCACAAGTAATCTCCTTTTGCATAGTCTAGCAGACGAAGGAAGTAGTTTTGGAACCAAGTGTAAACGTGGAGAGAAAAACCTCGAGAAAAAATATTAGGGTAGTGAGCACCTTGGTTTCAGGTGCAAGTGCGTGTGAACGCTGGGTATCAGGCATAAGATGTGGCTGAACCTTGTCGATCAGAATAAACAAGGCGTGACGAGGCATCCTCTATAACATATCTAGAATCTGTAAGTGGTCTTGAAACCCCCCACCAAATTAGCACACATAATCAAACATATTTGTATCTTTTTGTTTCAGAACATTGTTCACTTCACCACCCCTTCCTATGCTTAACCATGACGTTGCAATATTGTTGTACAAATGTATTACACCGACTCCCTGGCTGTGTTCCTATGACGACAGTGGTCAGACTTGCCTCACATGTGTAAGGCTTCAGTGTTGTATTTGTTTACATCACAGAAATAAACACATTCATTTGTGGGGGGTTTTAGGGACGCTCAAGGTGAAATGGTCACTCTTCTTCTTCACATAGAATGTGAAAGCCACCATTTTTTTCCTCTATGATTGATTTTAGCAATCCTAAGTTGGTCATAAGTAACTTAGACTTTGGATCTTAACTTTACGATTGACTTGGGTACGATTGTTTGTGGAACGGTATCCCGATCTTAACGTCACGCTAAGATTGGGATTTTAGGGGTTTACGATTGGCGTAGGGCTAAGATCGGTTAGTGGAACGGCACCCTGGTTAGCATCAGGATGTGATGATTCACTGACATGTGGATGCAATGAGAACTTACACAAGACAATACAGTACATGGCATCCCTTGATATCTATAAATTCATGCTATAAGACAGAATAGACTTTCAAAAATTAACATTTCAGTTATCTTTTTTCTAAAACCAGCACCAAAACACTTCTTAGATAAGAGCCACTGCTAAAGCTAACTCCTGACCGTATAACACGAGAACATGCAGAGTAAACTTACTGTAACTGACATGTACACTTTTTCCCCTCTTACCTTGAGAGCCAGTAGACTCTTGTTAATCTCAGCTCCTTCCATTCTTGTCTGTCTGTCAGAACTTGACGTGTCAGCACCTCGTTCATTTCCTAAACACATCAGAATTACATAAGTAGCAGTTCTTGATTACTGATTTAGATCATTTACCTCAAAAACTATAAACTGTTCACAAACACAAACTATGTGATCAAGCAAGAGTGTGTGTGTGACACAGTCAATGAATGGCACTTGAGAGTAAATGTTGGTGCAGCACTTTGAGCATACAGTTGTGTGTTGAATATGGTGCATTATGGGTCTACATATTGTTTACATAGTAACATTTATATTTAACTCACCCGCCAAATCTATCAATGAGAACTTTCCGAATAGCTTGTTGTTATTCCTGAAAAAGGAAGAATGCTAGCATATAGCACAAATTGTACACATGGTATTTAACACAAGTATCTTTCTAAGTGATTCCTTATCATGTTGCAAGTCGTAACCTCTCGATTTACATAACCTTCTTGTGAAGTAATACTGCATTATACAAAATATTGACGCCTTACCTTTTCCTGAGAATAATCTGAAAAACTGCATGTGATCGAGAAGAGTGCTGGTTTGCAGAAGTCGTACCCGATGTTCTGTAAAAGTAGGAAATATTTTTAGTGCAAAAAAATGATGTGAATGTTCCAAACGTCAAATTCACAAAATCATCCCCACTCTCCTATATGCCCTTGTCCATCAGCAGCCCATAACGAGTCTGCTTCACACCCTAACCTCTCTCCCAGGATCATTCCCAGCCACACTGTCTCTTCTACCAACATCCCCTCTCCAATCAGGGCCACCTTGCCATTATCCATACTTATAAACCTCCAGTAAATTCACTATATTCTCTCGGCAGGTTCTCCTTTTACCGAGTAAACGTCTACAGGCAGTTTCGTGGGCATTCTCCAAGAAATCCCAGGGATTTTCTACTGAATTTCCCACTGCCCCGGGATTTTCTGAGAAATAGCCCTTGAGTTTGAATTATTTTACCTGTTTTGAAGATTGATATAACTTTGTCTTGCTATTACTGAATACAATTGTAAAATATCATTATATTGAAAACATTCAATATATTCTACCGATCCCTGGTTTCGAACCTGCAACCCTTTGCTTACTAGCTTGGCGGTTTTATCCACTAGGCAACGAAGGATTGCTGTGATCGGTTTTGTTTGAAAAAGTAACCCCTTGGCCTCAGGAAATTGGGTTGGGCCTATCGGCACTCCCCAATTTCCCTCTGCCGCAGGCTTACTTTTTCAAACAAAACATTGGAGCCGGTTTTGATCCTACATCACACACCTGTCAGCATCATCCCTATCACTAACCAATTAGCCTCAACGCCTAAAGCCATCCACCTCTACAACTACAACCAGACTGTTGGCCCACCTGACATTGTTCCCATGCTGGATGAGCTGAAGCACCTCCTCCGTACTCTGGACCACCTCCTCTTTCAGGCCCACCACCTGTACCTGCTGTTTGTGGTCCTCAAGAACTCGCAATTTTAACTTCTTGTTTAGAAGGTCAAAGACCTGTAACAAGAAGTATGTACATAAGTAAGCAAATGTAAAGTACTGTTTGTTAGTGGTGTGACGATTCATCGATATGCATCGATGCATCGATCCATGGGCCGCCGATACAGTGAATTGATACAAAGTTTGACATAGTAGTATATCCCGATACGATACTTCAGATTGGCCACGATACATCGATGTTTTACTTTGAATATTGCCGAATCCCGATATCTGTCAAGAAAGACTTACTTTTGTTTACTGATTAAAATATATGCATACTTATTTTCCATTCATAAGTTTCTCGGAAATTCTTGCGTCAGGAACTGTGTCAAACATAGCGCTCGCATTTTATGAACATTCACAAAGTCCGTGTATAAACGTAAATATCTCATTTCCGAATGAACATTGAAAAACGCTGGCGGAATTTGATGAAATACTTTCAAGTGGTTTTGTTTTGATCTTAAAGTGTTTTATAGTTGGTGTTAGAGTTAAAGGTTTTAGTATCGTGATACGTATCGTATCGCCACCCTTATATCGGGATTCGTATCGTATCGCAGCTTCAGTGCACAATACTTTGGCAATATATCGTTGTGACGAACATTTTAGTATCGTGATGCATCGTACCGCAGGTTGTATGCCAATACCAGCACTACTGTTTGTAGCATGAGACATCTGTTACACTATTATCACAAGACACATAGCCACTTACAGGCTATGGAACCACAGTCTAAAGGTGAGAGTTGGGATTGACACTAAGAGAATTTCATTAATTTTTGCCTTACAACATAGTAGGGGTAGGATCATATCCGAAGTGAGAGAACACTGTTTTACACTATAACAATACTGACAGCATGGGTCACAATTTAGGATATATCAGAGGTGACGGACCATGGCCAGCCAATCATTCAATTACTGTAAACGTACTTATTTTCGCGTGGTGCAATTTTCGTGGAATTGACAGTTTAGACTACATTGCGCGGTCAATTATTCGCGCAATCAGTAATTGCCGGAACTGCCAGCTGTCTCTTTGGCCGCCACTAATAGCAGTGAAAACAAACAGAGTGGCTTAACCTGTCAGGCAGCGTTTATTGCTTACTCACAGGAAATCCCTATCTGTGCGATATACTAGTACACAGTAATCTGTTTACTCACGGAAGAGATGAAAAACACATCAGTCTTATGTTCCGAATTCTGACGATCTGACGAATTAACTTCTACTGTATATGAAGCTCTTTGTGATTTCAAACAAGCCGGGTTGTTGTGAATGAGATGATTGAGTGTTAAGTGACTATTCGCTTCATGATGTACTGGTACGTAAATTCTTAATGAATAAATAAAATACTGCTGTATTATTTCTTTCTGAGTCGTTTCATGGTAATCTGTTTTGTATCAAACCATCTGTCATGTGACCAATTTCCATGGCGGCCACAACACACATTGCTGTTTTCGCTAATTCGGCGATGGGATTTGGCTCATTATTTAATTATGTTTTGGGAAATCCATTACAGCGACAGTTAAGTGTGATTCTTTATGCTACTATCAGTCGTCATTTTAAGATTCCCGTAGATTTCTGTCTTCAAACTTGATGTGTTATGGTAACAACTCAGGGGCGAGCCTGGCTAGACTGAATGAATGACAGGTTTATTCGCGGTGTATAAATTTTCGCGCTAAAATGTTTTGCGCGAAACGGAGAAAATAAAACCTGCGCGAAATATAATACGTTTACAGTACTCAACCTTACATGTATGATGTACGATGTACTGAGATGTCATCAAAACCTAAGCCAAGTTCCACTAAGTGAATCGGAATGCGATCAGTTCAGTTTTTGCTTATCAGACATTTTGATGAAGATTCCTACACCATTCTCATGCTGGAATGAGTACTTCCATAAAGTTGTACACTTTCTGATTTACTCACAAACTTCTAGAATGCCAATGAAACAGATCTACAAAATGATCTTGGAAACCAGACAATCGCAACTCCTATACTTCAATTTAAGCTTATGACAGTACCAACTCTAAAATTGCATTGTTGGTTGTGGTCCAAGTTCCAATTCAACAAAACAAACTTACCACAATGACAAACATACAGATACATGTTTAAACAAACTTGCCACAATGACAAACATTCAGATACATGCTTAAACAAACTTACCACAATGACAAACATACAGATACATGTTTAAACAAACTTGCCACAATGACAAACATACAGATACATGCTTAAACAAACTTACCACAATGACAAACATACAGATACATGTTTAAACAAACTTGCCACAATGACAAAAATACAGATACATGTTTAAACAAACTTGCCACTGTTGTAGCGCTAAAGTTACTTAATCAAATGGGACCCTGGTATCCAAACAGGGTCGGCACATCGTTCAAACAAGTGTTCTTGGAGCTGAGACATTCACAACTGTCATAATCTAACACGTAAGAGTTACAACAAAGCTGGAATCACTTTGTGGAATGGAATGGGATATTCAACAAGAGTAAACAGAGGTGATTAATACAATACATATCTGAAACTAAGGATCATTATTCATCTCATCCACAAGTGTGTTGAGAACAAGCCAGGTAACCCTTACCTTCCCACTGTATATTTCAAAGAAGCTCGACCCAACAGTCAGATCAAGTTTCTTGAATTTGGAGTGAATAAGTTTGAAAACGTCTTTGGCTGAAATAGAGTAACAAGACATGGATACAAAAAAATACATAAATTGCAGAACATCTTTGTATCACACTATACAAGTGGCCACATAATATTTCAGGCGAGATGGGTTTAACACTGATTTGAAGTACTGCAGTTACAAAATAGTGTATAAGCTTAATGAGGGTATAAACACTGAAGTGTTGCTGGTCCAAGATATGCATCAAGTTTGTGAAAGCCACGAGCACAGGTATGGTGCAGAAAAAAAGCCAGATCACAGGCTTTAGGTATGTGAAAGAGCCATAAATCTGCACAGTGACTTCCAGCACCTTAGACAAACTCTATTTGAAAGGGTGTAAAATTGCACAGTATATGTTCTCAAGAAAATTGTTGAGTTACCTTAAAAAATAAAATCAATAAAACATTTTGTATCCATTAAAGCTCTTCACATAACATAGAAATAATACTTCAGTCTTATATAAAGTACTACAGATCTTACCTGCTAAGAGATATATTCCTTTTGAGCAGTCCTGCTGTCCTTTTGCAGAAAAATCTCCTCCCATTGTCTGTAAACAAGCCATGAGGTCAACCCTTCAGTGTGGAATACCAAGCTTCAAAGCTGAGTTGACATTTCAAAAGCTTCATACAGAAGATACTTTATTTCTATCTCTCCAATACACAGAAAATCACAATATCATTTCGTTTCTTTGACATCCAGATATTAAATGCAGTTACCACTACTCTTCTCCAGTTTTGTGGAAATCAAAATTACAGTTTCCATACCCTCTCTAAATAGCATGTAGGCCGTGACTCACATGTGTTTTTCCACTGCCTGTCTGCCCATACGCAAAACAAGTAGCCATCCCTCCCTCAAATATACACTCCACCAGGGGCTTGGCTGTGTACCTGTAGACAGAACGATCTCCATCAGTCTTCATAACAGACATGTCAACCCCATACTGACTCAATTCCAGGGTTAGGGGTCTCAGGTTAATAATATAGTTAGAAGAAAGCAATCACCATAAAAATGTCATACTGGATGTTTTTCACAATCATACAGCTTTTGCATTGCACTGCAAATCAAACATTTCTCAAAATCTGTAAACTTTACCAAGTCAATTCCCTATACTACGCTCTTGGGTGAGACAAAATAAATCATGTTTTGACAGATTTTGAAATCAGTAAACAGTAAATCCCTTTATCACATTAGCAACATGGAGCAAACTACAATAACAATTCCATCATGGTAAATGGTGATGAAAGAACATTTTAATTTACATACACAATACACAAACTTACATCATCAGTCTTAGGGATCTTTATAATTATGTTCAGTTTTGTCAGTAACATACACATAAATGTGTCACCACGGACCATGGATGAGAATAAATTGATTTCTCTCTTTCAAAAGTGCTTTTTTCCTCCCTTTCCTTGCATTCTAACGATAAACATTTTAAAACAAGACATTAATAAAAAGACCTTGCATTATGCCGCAATCAGAACTATTGCAGTTATTTCTCAGCTACATCAGGACTTATCATTAGGGTTGATATGTTATGTTGATGTTATCATTTGACCTCCTTTCTAGCTTGCACAGACCTGTAGACCATTTCGTTGGTGACTGAATCATCGAAGGCGTAGTCAAATCGGAATGACTGGTTTTCCAGGTACTTGGTGAGGTCCACCTTGAGCTTTGGTTCATGGACGATGGTGTTCTCCTTGTTTGGAATGGTGACGACATCCACCTCCTTCCTCGCCGTCTCTGCAGGGACATGAACAAATACAGTTTAAGAGGTCAAAACCCTGTACTACACCTGGATTATCAAAATTTGTGGCAAGAATGCAGTTAGCTAATACCTTCCATCATTTTGCTAAGGGGCGTGTGTTTGGTTCCATGTCTAGTATCGGTTGTTCAGGAGCGAATTTCAGATTTCAGCTGTCTTCCTATGTCAACAGCCCCCTCATGGAATGAATTAATGACTTACTTTGATCTTCAATTTTAACGTTTAGTTATATACTATTCATATGCAAGAATTGAGATACATTTTCTGCTTATTTGAGTGTCATCCCACTTCTTATGTTTATTCCACTAAATATGTCGCTGTGTGCAGGAATATTAGTAGCATCACACAAATATGGCTGACACTGTGTGCAATGCCGATAGTTTGCAAATAAGATCACTATATCAGAAGGATGCCTGAAATTGGTCTAAGCCAATCAAACAAATCCGTTCACATCTCACATACCTTTCTTCGTTAGAGGTCGCTTCCTGACACATACACTGATTTGGTGGCTCTCAATGGGGTCAGAAGATGTGATTGGTCGATACTCAAGGTTACCTCGATAGTTACTGGAAGAACAAGGTATATTAGAGTGAGTGAGTGAGTTGAGTTTTACGCTGCACTCAGCAATATTCCAGCTATATGGCAGCGGTCTGTAAATAATCGAATCTGGACCAGACAATCCAGTGATCAACAGCATGAACATCAATCTGCGCAATTGGGAACCGATGACATGTGTCAACCAAGTCAGCGAGCCTGACCAACCGATCCTGTTAGTCGCCTCTTATGACAAGCATAGTCGCCTTTTGTGGCAAGCATGGGTTGCTGAAGACCTATTCTATCCCGGATCTTCACGGATCAGGTATATTAGAAGGCGTGTGGGAAAAATTAATGACTTCTGTCATTTATTCAACTTCAGATACACACAGTTGTGCCACAGGTCCTCGTGTCTTTGCGAGGATTAAAGCTTTTGAAAAAATATATAAAATTTGAGATGACCCCCAACTCGAAATGCCTCACATAATACATTATGACAAGGCCGGACACTTCGGTGTACCCCACCCGCCTGCTTTGCCGATCACTATGCTACCATTGCATGCAATCGATTAAAACTTAATGTAAACCTCAGGACAAAATGGGGGTGTGGTCGAAGCAAGCCCTCTGATTGGTCAACGCTTGCAAATCTGCACATTCTTTTTGTATTCGCTGGATTTTTTCCTTTCATCGACTGCTTAATGTAAGAATATTTTTCGAGCAATGACTTCTCAAAAGAAAGTATCAGTTGTAAATGTCACCTTAACAAGCATCAACCAACCAGAGGGCTTGCTTCGACCACACACCCACTTTGTCCGGACATATCGTCATCCATTTGTGTCAAGATCGTTTAGTTGAGGGTCAAAATCGGGTTTCAATCGACTTGCAGAAATAACAATAAAGAATTGGTAGGTGTCATTAGTGGTGATCGATAAGCCAATCACATGATTATGTTTACATTAAGTTTTAATCGATTGCATGCGATGGTAGCGTAGCGATCGGAAAGGCAGTCGGGTGGGGTACACCGAAGTGTCCGGCCTTGTCACAATGTATTGTACTGTGAAGCATTTCTAGTCGGGGTCATCTCAAAAAATTATTTTGCTTAATCTTCTTTCTTCGCAAAGACACGAGGGCCTGTGAGTTGTGCCCCCAAAATGTCATGTGAATGGAATGGCCTGTAAATTGGTATATATATATATGAGTGTTTTTTGTCTTTTCACTACATAAGTACCATTGGACAGCAGAAAAATTTTGGGTTGATCAGATAGTCAAGGCCACATCATATTTCAGGCCTGATGTCAGGTGATTGACAGTGTAAGCATCGATCCATACCGTCAACATTTGTTCCCATCAAGTCACAAATGTGGGTATAATGCATACTTATCTGCAATTATTTAGACTGTTCAAGAAACCGATCACAAGTCTATAACTGAAACAGATTTTAAACCCTGAGGCAAATGGAAAACTTAATACACATTCAGGAAGGCCGTAGATATGGTTTTAACGTCAAACTGTGTTTTTTCATTTTGTGTCAATTACATCGAAAATAACAAGTTACATCCTGTAACAAATTTGAAATAATACTACTGAATACTGAGGACCTATTCATGTAACTCTACTAAATGATACCTACTTGATCATTGCATTAAAAGCCCAGTTTGGGTCCGAAGTGTCGTAATTCTTCTCGTTGACCTCCTTGATTGCCTGCTGTGCTGCTCGTCTGTCTTCTCTCCGCTTCTGTATCATCTCCACCTCCTTCACACAGTTGGACTTCCGCCGTCCTGTCACAAAACATCACAGCTTGAAACAAGTTCAGAGTAGACCTTGCAAGATTGTTGGCTATTGAAAGCTGACGATTGTCCTCAGTTTTCAGTGTTTCCAATTATCCTGATGGCAGCCACAGACAGAATCATTATTTCGAACACTACAAGCAATACTTGGTCATAGGCTGTATAGTAGGGCTGGTAACAAACGTACTCCTGGACCCACTGTTTGCCTCATGATACATTGTTTTGTGACAGTAACGACAAAACTCAATGGGTGCACTTCAGATCGCTAGTTTTGGGTAGGGTTGGGTCAGGTAATAGGTTGCCGAGAACCTGGTTTTTTAATTTCCTCCCAGTCCTACTATGTGGTAAACAGGTGAACAGGTGTCTGCACTTTACAACAAAGGTAGACGCAACATGTTGGAAAAAGAATAAATTTTCTGCACACTACACAAGTCACAGTGAACAACAGCACAGGAGGAACTGACTGTAGTGTTTGTGCTTCTTGTCCGGTATGGTCCGGCTTATACTATATTCTCCGGCTATTAAAGAGAACGGAAATGTATCTGCACATGAGCAGCCTGAATGAGCAGACAAGTTAAGTGCGGGAGCGTTGAACGCGTGTTGTTTTGTTGAACATAACAGCCTTAAATGGGAGCGCACTGAGTGGTAACACCATACTGACCAGATGGACTGAAGGTGAAAACATTGAGGCAAAAACATCTACATCCGTAACTTTCCCTACTGGATCCACCAATGTGTTAGAGTAAGAGTATAAGGACAGACGCTATCAAAATTTTGAATAACAAAACAAGGACAGATTGAGAGTTATGTCCAACATCTGAGGAACCTTTTCTGAACGCCTGTAGACTTGCACCTAACTGATGCTTCTGGTCTTACTACCAACTTACCACCAAATCCAGATCAGATAAATTAAAAAATAGAATTAAAGAAAAAATATCTAAAACAATTCTAACCATAACGTAGGAAATCCTACAGAAAAGGCCTTGAAAGTGATATAGGAACTGGTGAACCACTCCAATGAGACATGGTATGGCACAGACATACAAAGATCATAAAGAGAGCAATCCTCATATCTGACCCACGACAAGTGGATTGTGGTACACAAAGTCGTCCTCCCATGCCCTAGAAACCTTATTCCCAAAGAGAACAAAGTGCTTTGACAGCATATTTTATAATATCAGCAAAGCATGTTGTGAGTGTTGCAGAAGTGTTTCAGAGTCTGCTGAACAGTTTAACAGGTATAGTGTTCACTGATGGCTACACCACAGGAAACTGACCCCCGAGTTTCTTTCCATCATCCTTGCCCTCCTGCACTGGTATGGAGTGGTCCACCTTCCCGTTCTGGGCAGCTGCCGGACGTGCTGCATAGCTGGGACGAGACCGTGCAGACGACACTGGAACACCATCAATAAACACTGCATTTTTTTATTGACCAGACCAGCTGTTTGTACAAAATATAAAGTCTCCCACTTTTATACATTGTCAAACATTTCATTTCTGTGAGTGGGTGATCTGAGGTGTTGTACAGTAATAATTTTCTTTGCTTTCTTATACTTATTGATAAAGAAAACACATTACATAAAATAATCAGTAGATAATCAAATGTTAAAAACTAATTCTAACATACTTGTCTGAAGTACACCTTTACCACCAAGTCTATTGTTTAATTGTAAAATATAACCACACAGTCTCTTGGTACAAAAAAGGTTTTCTTTTTAAAAAAACAAGCTGACTTGCCGACTCTATTAAAATCGGATTTTCCCACAGCCATGAAATCACAATATATCTATTATCATTGCTACAGAATATCACACCAGAGTGGACATTATGTTTTATGCCTGAATATAAAGTAAGTGAATATGGTTTTACGCCGCTTTTAGCAATATTCCAGCGATATCACGGCGGGAGACACCAGAAATGGGCTTCACACATTGTACCCATGTGGGGAATCAAACCTAGGTCTTCGGCACGACGTTTACGCTTTAACCACTAAGCTACCTCACCACCCCAGCTGAATATAAACAGCATCCAAACAAACAATTTTGGAACTGCCCATCATAAAGCACAATCAAAAAAATTCTTTGCAGGCCAATGTTGTTAACACGTCACCTTTATTCGATGATCTTGCATTGTCGCGGTCGCCAGTTCCACCCAAGGATTTGTTACTCTGAAAAATCATCAATATAAAACATTACAAATCATTCTAGTTCCACTGTAAAAAAAACTCACTTATTTTCTATATAATATCTCCATTCCATTTTGATATACACCCTGTAACCAATTGCCAGCACAGGCTTCATTTCAGAAGTGATGCCATTCACATCTCTTACCACTAACTTAGTACAGACTTTCTCCAGCTCATGGACACAATGAAAGTCCCCAAAACAATTAAAGAGTTTTTCGGCATAAGTGCCTTAAGTCGGAGGGCAATACTAAATAAATTATTCTGCTAAAAAGAAGATTCTCTGATTCTAATCTAAGATAAGGAGGTCGATTCTAATGCTGGATGGAAATTTCAAGTTAATTTCCTCAACAAGTTTCTTGTTAAACACCATAATTGGCAATATTTCAGCTGTTTCACACCGGTTTGTACAAATGCCTGTCTGGAACAGACAATCCAATATTTGACTTCATGATCTCTGATTACACAACTACAACGCTTGCTCCTGTTCCACGTTATAGCTAGGATAGTGCAGTAGAAGACAACTTAAGTACATATTGATCCACACTTGATTTGCAACGTCATGTCAATTGAAGGAAGTTTATGGTGGCAAATTGGTCACATGTATATATAACAGAATGAAGACTGACTACAGGATAATTGTGCAGTCTGCACTGTATACTGCATGAGTTGAACACAAAAGGCAAACAATTCAGTTTCAAACCACAGAGGCATATGTTAATTGTCCATTCTGAAATACCTTTAACACAAACACATTAAAATGTTGTGGCTTAAACATGGCGACTGAATAATTTTCCATATATGTTAATAATTAACAGCTCTTTCTATTAACAAAAAATTACCTTTTCATCAAAAATTATCAAATTGTCACAAACATGCCAAACGACAAGTATATGTGAAGTCATTAATATCAGAACCACAGCAAATGCTAATTGCAATTTCACAACAATTTGGAATAACAACATATACATTTGAAATATACACTACTCAATGACAGACTGAAAAGGCTTTGAAAACTTTTGAAATACGATTTCATTAGGATTGTAATTAAAGCCTAACAATGCAATAATGCAAAATATATACCGGTAACATACTTCTCAAAAGTTAAAGAACACCCAATTCTTTCATATTACTCGCACGACAGATTAACTTTAGCAACATGAAAGAACTGGATGTAATTAACTCCGCATGAACAGTACACTCACTGAAAGTGAAATCAACATGAAACAGATTCTAAAATACGCACCACAACGGAACTACGCATGCTGCTGCAAAAAAAGACTTTTACACGAACTACATATGACTTTACCACATTGCCCATTCCAAGGCTTGGACCCCATCATTCCGTGCAATCTATTCCCACTACACATGTTTAAATCCATCATACACCCATTCCTAAAGCTGCACCTAAAGTCACTCATGATAGTATTGTGGTGCAAGGCGACACAACAAAAAGGTGGTGAAACAATCAATATGCTCATGCAAGCACAACCTTTGTTATTGTTTCACTGAAACAACTTGTCCAAAGACATTAATTATTGACTCCATTATGTCTTTGGACGGGTGTTGCCCTTATCATAAACATCGCATGCGGCCTTGTCGTTATATATGAGACACCACAAAAACAAAGTTGCATATGGATTGTGTTGCTTGGGTTACTATTTTTCTAACCATGTACATAGAAACATGTGTTTATAGTGTGTGTGATCATGATGACGACATACTTAAATTAAGTCAATAAAAGTACAGAAAATCACCACTTAAAGACCAGGGTCCCTTCTAGTGTTGGGTATTGGTTAAAATCTCATAATTGATGATTGGTTCATTACTACCGATCAATCATCGAAAATAGTTGGTTAGCGTCATGAAATGAAATTTGTTAATGCACATTAAAATAAGGGGGGAAAAATGTAGTTCTTCTGGGGTTTTTGGCAAAATTTCACATCTTTAAAGGATGACTAGTATGTTAGGAACATAAATTTCTTGGAATCTTTAAGATAAATTCAAACATGACTTGAAACGAGCTTGTAGTGCATTACGAAATGCAACAGACAAAACCAAACATGTGAAAAATATTGTTAATGAAAAAACAAGTGTTCCAGAATTGTTTGTGTTCGATTATGAGAAATTATGATCGATTGTTTGGTCGTTTAGTCACTACAACCAATCTTCAATTATTTCAATTAATCGGACCACCACTAGTCCCTTTCGCAAAGTATCTTAGCGCAATGGTGATCACAACTCCAATACCGTAACACTTATTCATGATTGTCATGGAGGTAACATGACTTTGTACAGGGCCCTGCTCACCCATGAGTATGTCTTAAAAAAATTGAAAACTGTCGGTCTACCATCCACTCAACTATATATCATAAAAGCAATAATAAAATGAAGAGAAGTTAAAAAAATAAATACCTTCAACAAATTGTTTCTTACAAACCAGCCTATAAGGCCAGACCAAATTTATAAATTAATATTTTTTCATTATAAGCATGTAAAATCTTGGGTATATCATAAAAAAATTCATTGTAACAGGGCCATAATCGCATTTGTAGAAATTTACCTTGTGTTGCCTTGACAAGATTTTCAAGAAGTTTAATTAATATTCTTTCAATTTAACACTTGCCTCTTAGAATACTTACCACCAAAATCAATAAAACAAGACTGCAGCATAAGAGAAAGTTCTTTGACCAAATTTAACTGTTGTGACTTTAGGAATACACAGAAGATTATGTTTCTCGGAGCAACATAGCAACATAGATACATATACCTTTACTTGCGGTATAAGTAAGTACCGCCATCATAAAAGACATCAGGGAATATTCCTTCTGACAAAACAAATCAATCCTATCGATGCCAGTGTTTGTCATGAATCAATCCCGTCAAGTGAACATGAAAAGGATGGCTGGAACATGTGATGAAGACAGTCCATGCAAGACCACATCCACAAATGAACTCAACTAAACAAAAGGGGATGAACTGGAGATGGGGAGTGTCTCGGCAAGCAGGAGGATGGGCAATGGGTGATGGGCCGCTGCCACGAATAAACTCCCCCAACACCAACAGCAAAGCTCCATTCCTCATTCACTTTCTACTGGACTAGATTCATCTTGGATGTAGATAATAGGAACATTGTCTTTAGGAAAACAGTCTCGGATGTCAAAGGGATATTAGTATTAATTCTTGGATTCACTTGGTAATAGGGCTGTGACGATTCATCATGATATGTATCTTTGTATAAATGTTGCGATACAAACATGGCAAGCAGTATGATATAAGAAACCAGAATTACATTTTATTTCCATTCCAAATAATATGCCATTCTTATCACGGCGGATATTTGGAATGACACATGATCATAAAAGACGTAATTTATGACACAAAACTCTTATTGTTGCAGAGTCAATTGTTCCAGCCCTATTTTGTGGGGGGGAGCAAGTCAACATTCAGCATTGCCGCAATAACAGTGTTTCTAGCAATTATTCCATGTTCCCAATTTCAAAATACTTATGGCTGATTTCCCACAGAACCAACAACTCAAAATCTTTACTTTTATTAAAAGTGAATACGTGTTGGGCCATAACTTCTTTTACCTCAAGGTTGAACTGAGAGACAGGTAGAAATTCCCATATACATAATTTTTCTACTGGTCAAAAACATAGCACCAAAACAAAAAAATTATGAAGTTTTCCTTTGTATTTGCATCTAATTCATACCCACATTTTTAAAAATTAGATACAACCAATCATTCATCCATACAGAACCACTGAGAGTATTATATGTGACATTTGTCTTTGCACCTTTTGGAAGCTAGCATATTCATCTATTTCCCTAATCTGTAAATTAAACGCACAACTATGTTTATAACCAGAAATCACCAAGAGGCGGTAATGCTGATGTTGCATATTGATTTCATTTACTGCTTGAGTTTATCACATTTGTCCTGTATCTACATCCATGGAGGCATGCACTACCCAGACATGTGGAAACTGCCAACCAAGTAGTGATGGCGTGATGCAGGGCAACGCTACCTTGGCTCCCAGCCGCGAGATCTTACTGGGCTGAGCAAGGCGGGAGCTAGCAGTGGGGGGCAGCCCCTGCTGGGCCTGGGGGTCCTGCTCAGCATTATTGTTATCACTAGTACTAGGTTCATCTTCATCCTCGTCCTCATCATCAGGATCCTGGTCAGGTTCTTCTTCGGGGTCTTCCTGGGAGTTACAATTTACATTAAACCTTTCTACTGGAAGTATGTTCATGAAACCTTTGTACTTCACAGTTACCATTAAACTAAGTCTATCAACAATGTTTATTGAACCTTTCTACTGTTTCAGTTTGATTGAAACTTTACCTTTGAATCTGGAAAGAAAGACCACTCCATTGTCTACTCCGAGGGAACTATCAAAGGTTTGACAATATAGGGTCAATAGGGAGACGTTACCCCCAACCGTGAACCAACCTCAACCAAAATATCAGAGGTCACATATCAAGCATTCTCTTTCCACAGAGGTTACTCGAGGCATATCTTCTCAACTGTTCTAATTCGGCCCTTTTATGGTGAGGGTGTTCAGGATTTGTGATTGGTTGCAATCAGATTTAGTTTCAGACAGCGACATTGTTTCACAAGTGATCATTCACAAAGTCTGGGTAATTTCCATGTGCTTTGGTAAAACTAGAACATCTTCGCCTGCACGATGCGTAAACGTTTCTTCTAGACAGAACTTAGTCATGTATTGGTGGATGAATGACGTCTCCATCGCCCTTGTTGACAACGGACAAGCTAGCCATTAAATGTTTTGTGTGTCACATCAACAAAAACATCTTGTCGATTGATTCCTGTACTCTGTATTGCTAGTTTCTGATTTTCAGTTAAACATGAAAAACCGAATCTATTCTTCGCATGTTGATCAACTAACTCCATGGTGGCCGCCATATTGGATCTAAGTCAATGTAACACGTGTTCTGATTGGATAGAAAGAAGGGGGATAATTCATGTTGCAATTTTTTGCCGCTAGGGAATTTTACAAGAAGCAGGAAATATGGCCATATTAGAACAGAGGTAAGTGGGAAGAAATGACTTGAGTAATCTCTGTGGGAAGAAATGCATATCATGAGGACATGCAGAAATTACACATTTGATGCAGTTCTCTGATAGTGACAACATTTCACTGGAGCTGTGATTAGACATAACAAGACATATCAAACTTTAAAACTATCTTCAGACCCTTAGTAAATTCACCCAGGTCCACAATTGTGACCATGCAATCCGCATAAAGCTTCTTTTCACCAGCAACTGACCCTGAGGACTATTTTATCCCAAACCTGACGCTCCTCCCCTATCAAACTCCAGACATAAGCAGGGGAACAATGCATTAAATGATGCAATCATCTGTCTCAAGAGTCAGCTGTATACACTCAATAGTTATTATGTCCTTAAACATTCATTTTGCACTTGTTCTATTTATCATACATACTCTGTGAGAAAACAAATATAATGGTCATAAATCAAACTTAATGACACAGTATTATTACCAGATAATAACACAATTATTCTCTATAGCCCCTCGAGCCTGTATTGTCCTTGGTCCCCATTCTCCTACTCTCCTTGTTAACAAGGGCCCACTTGTTCCACAGGATTTTTGCATTATGACTCTCTTAGAGGTTGGGAGTTACAATCATCAAAGCGCAAACATCCCATTTGTGCAAGTGGGCCCAGATCCTTATTTCCCTTGTTAATCAGCTCCTTATTCCAATACTCTCTATATTATTCAGCCACTTATTTCATACTTCTAAATGTTATTTTAAATGTTAATTACCATGACCAGCCCCTTATTCTCTAACTCCCAATGCTAATTTCTCAACTAATGACAGCACCTAATTTGCTTTTGACAGGGACATAACTTGTTAAACCATCATGTACTTGGATAAAACTACAAAGCAGAGCAATACTTTGGAACTACTAACAGTAACAGTACCACTACCCGTATTCATTTCTAGAAACAAGAAAAGATAGACCAAATGAACAATTCCTTTCTGAAACAAACTCTGGACTACTGTCAAATTAATACTGACGACTAATGGCAATTTTACTTGATAGTCATGGTCTTATGCAACTATACAATATTTTCAACATCTATCACAGTATTTTCCACATTTCCACATCACAGTATTTTCCATATCTATCAGAGTTGGTTGGGTTGTTTAATGCTGCACTCAGCAGTATTTCAGCTATACGGCAGCGGTCTATAAATAATCGAGTCTGGACCAGACAATCCAGTGATCAACAGCATGAGCATCAATCTACACAATTGGGATACAATGACATTATCATATGTCAACCAAGTCAACGAGCATTACACCCGATCCTGTTAGTCGCTTCTTATGACAAGCATGGGTTGCAAAGGAAAATTTCTAACCCAGATCTTCACAGGTCTATCTATAGGTGTAATTAAGTCCTTGTTCGTAACATAGCAACAGCTGGACCAGGCAAACTAGAGATTGGAATTATGTGCAGAGATCCACACCAACATCAGGGTACAATGACACACAATCTATCAAGTGAAACTGTAAATCATGAGTCATGTTGTGCCGCAGTTAGTGTCAATTCCGAACGACAGGAAACAAAAGATTGACAGTGCATACAACACAAAAACAGAATGCCTTCATTGGGAAAGACAGCATCAAACTTCAACTTCATGATATGTATGACCACTACTGTTGGGGACCGATCTTATCCTCAATAACTGGTCAATATTGGTTTGCTCCAACTGGTCATCCATTAACTATAATTGATTATCAGCGCATCACTAACCACCAAAGATAGGTGTTAACGTAAATGTTGCATAAATGACAACTAGAGGGATCAAGATGGAAAAGAAAACAAATAGCTCTTGTCCAAACTCAGGCAAAGACTTTTGAGAAAATGGTGCGAATGGGTGGGTTTTTCTTTTTCAAAGGAAAATGAAAAATTGTCTTACCCAGGTGCCACCATTTAGGTTTTTCTGTTTCAAAACAAACAAAATGCTCAGATGTGGGAGAATTGATTCAGTCGTGGTTAAAACAAATTCTATCTAACGAGCCATATTTGGACATTTTTAATTGTCTGTCTTTCTTAAATGAAGACCTATGTAACGATATGGTGCAATAGTAATGATGGTACTAAACCGTAGAATTATACCAAAAAATCACTACCAGAGAACTACTGGAGAAATAAACACATTACATGAATGTATCTACACAATAACATGAAGTATTCGCAAAACTACAAATTATTTGTCATTTAGTTTTTGCTACCTCAAAAAAAACATAAGAAAAAGATACCACAATCAGCTTTTATAACATAACTTAAATAAACAAATATCCCCTTTGGATGCTGATATGCTATGCCATGGTTACCATGGTTACACTTTTATCAATACTGAAGATTTATGAACATGGCCATATGTTTTAAGCCATAAATGTCTTCATTCTGGCAAACATCCATACAATGTAAACACATGAATATTGAGGTCTTTTATGTTCTTATTAAAATGCTTGACATGACCTGAAGAAACATCAATTACTACATCCTCGATAATCTCCAAGGTGTACGTTCCGATAAATCTCCACTAGTATCCTGTACTAGTACTAGTACATTAGCCAATCAGATGAGTCGCTTCAACCGAGCTTCCCAGTGTCAACAAAGATAGCGACCGCAGCTGCGAAAGTTTGCCGCTGTGCGACTCAGATTTAGGGAAAAAATCATACAGACAAATTGACAGGTCTGAAACCTTCAAAAAATATAGGCAAGAACTCCTTCTCCCTCTTTCAGAGTACCTCTGCAACAATTGTGTTGCGAAGTTTAATCGGTTAGATAAAAGAAGCAAAAGTGAGTTATGAAAAAAGCCATGTGATTGGTACGCTCAACTGTAGATGCATCCAGGGTACTAGTGGAGATTTATCGGAACATATACCCTGGAGATAATAGAGGATGATGGATATGTTAATGTTATGTAAACTTACTTTCACAGACTGAGATTCCCTTGGCTTTGGCGCACTTGTGACAACGTGCGGATTTAAGGCAAAGATTGCTTCCACTTCAATCTGAAATCACACAAGACATTTATCAATTTCTTTAATAATTTACTAAATAGTATAAATATTTTTCAGCGTTATCAATATCAACTGCACCTATTAATAAGAACTAGAAAATGTGGGTGGCCCTTATAGCCTTTAAAAATCAGCATAATTTAAGAGTAAAGTTTTCACAAAGCTGCTTACCTTGCACAGTATAAATTAGAGTAAAGAACACCTTGTAGCTATTTCACAAAGCAATCATAGCAATATGACAGCCATAAGTCACTTATACAATCAGCTCAGAGCTAAGACTGACTGAGTTTGGTTTTACGCCGCTTTTAGCAGTATTCCAGCAATATCACGGCGGGGGGCACCAGAAATGGGCTTCACTCATTGTACCCATGTGGGGATTCGAACCCGGGTCTTCGGCGTGACGAGCCAACGCTTTAACCACTAGACTACCCCACCACCCTCAGAGCTAAGATCACTTTGTAGAACAGACTCCAGATTACAACAAGTTCAAGACCTTGTCTTTGTGCTAAAATTGCTTGTGTAATCCACAGATATTTCAGAATGAAAATGCAATTCAAGATAACCAATATCCAAAAGGCCTTGAGAAAGCTGGTCAGAACTTACACAACACAAGTCGCATGTACGTTACTACAAACTAGTACAAAGCCATTTTTTAAAACATATTTCGCCTTGAAATTTTAAGAAATGAAATATTTGTAAAATGCAGTGTCTATAAGCGAGCACTATAACATACAAGTTGTGTAAACAAGGTAAAAAACAGACATTAAAATTTTATCCCGTACCTCTTTTCCCTTTGTTTCTCCTTTCTCAAACCATTCAACAGTAACACTGCGGGACTCGAGATTCACCCCGCTTATCACTGCAGAGTGAATACGCCCTGCAGAGAACAACAGCATTACATCAGGAAGTGTAAAGGTTGACTGAATGAAACTAAACACAATAATCACTGTAAAATAAATCAAAATGACAAACAAAACTTGGAACAATTTAGACACGGTACAAGGTACAACATATTTACCTCAGTGTCTGTGTGCTTCGTGAGTATAGTTAAGCATTATTCAGCATTACCATGGTTAGAGGCACCAGAAATATGGTTCAGACACCACCAATGTTTGGAATCAAACCCAGGCCACCGCTGCTTGTCTGCTTTGGGGGCCTAGTGGTAAAAGCGTTCGCTTGTCTCGTCAAGACCCAGGTTTGATTCCCCACATAGGTACATTTCTGGTGTCCTCCGCCTTGATATTGCTTGAATATTGCTAAAAACGGTGCAGAACTAAACTCACTCACTCAGAGTTTACTTTGTATCATAATGCATAACATGTTTTAGATCAATCTAACAGCTGCATGAAATGGCTTATTACAGTATCAGCATGATCAGTGATACACGATTTACTACTGATCAAAGTGTAAACACTTGGGCCACAGGGATTGGAGACATAAGTCAAGTTTACATATACTTTGAACAGTCTCCCTAGGCATCCAGCTACTACACGTCTACTAGGCAGTGTTTGCATTGTGTCATTTACAGAAGGGTATTGTCCAGCTTGATCCTCTATGTCAGTCGATTTATCCCTTGTTCGGGTATTGTAAGGCAATGGAATTTAGGTCACATACTCCCAGCTGTTGCATTCTTACAGGGAGATGAATGACTTATATACCACAGATGATAGATTGTAAGTTAATGAACAGACATTTCAGAAGATGCAATAATGAATTTTGTACATGAGGAACAGCAAACATAAACTGGGTCATTGAACCTTCATTTGAAAAACAGCAGTGTTTCAATAAGACTTGGAGCATAATTCACTGATATAAATAGAACTTCATTTGGTCAGTCCAGCAAGTCTTTGTATATGACTCGAATCAGAAATCATGGAAATTGTTGTTTGATATCACAAACCATACATATCCTGATATGAAGTTGATTCTTATAAATACTGACTTCCAGAAACAATTAATTCGAGAAAACAATGGAATTATGGATTGTCTGTCCCAAGTATTCTTTTTCTAAAAGTGTCAATGATTCAGTCATAATTCGATGGCGAGGGTAATGAAATGTTCAAATCTTGCTTATGGTGTTTAACAATAACAGTTCCTGGGTACTATCATAACAGAGTGGAGATAGCAGGATATACCAGACAAAAAAACCTGCATCCTGTACATATAGTTATGTAAAACATGCAGAAATATCCACCTGGAATGAGGTAATGTTTAGGAATGAAAACTAACTGCTATTACATCATGTGTTCATAATTAGTTTCCACTTAAAATGTATCTTTAAACAATACAACACACTCAAAGCAGCTTCACAGTCTTCTAAGGTGAGCTCAGTGTTCATGAATAGCGCCTGACCCTCTGACAAATCCGGCAGATTCGCCTACGGTCAGACAGAAGTCTACAACCCGCCGGCCCCAGTGTCTGACTGTATATTTCACAATGACTTTGACTGAAGTTGTTATATGTGACATGTGACACTTATTTTCCATTTATAAATCTTATGTTTGTTAATAATTTCAATTCCAATTATGAGAAATGTTAAATCTGAAATGTGTGTTTAATTTTATTTTATTGGTCCTGTGAATTTTGAATGGGTCAGACACACAACTGAAACTTACAGGACCCAATGTCCTGTTACTTTGAAACACCATTCGTGAACACTCGGTGAGCTCTTGCCGATTCGTTTCAGTTCAGAACTCAATACCTTGATTTTAACCAACAGAATGCATAACAACATGATCTGTGGTTGAGAACTGTGTATTCAGTTTCTAACATTTCTTTGGGATACCAACTACGTCACATCAGACCCTTATTTTTTAGGCCCCTCCAAGTAACACCTTAGGTTCCCTCGTCCACAAAACTAACTACCGAAAATGGTTCTCTTAACGATCACAGCACTGCGTGTAAACGTGTAAATGCATTCAATTGTCACCTCTGATTATCATATCAATAGAGTCCTAAGCTGTACATGCACACACATATCAGTTCCCCATACATGTTGGAGAATAGGCTATTCATTGAAAGCTGATCTTCTGCAGTACTGCTGGACATGGGCCAAACAGCTGTTCGAAAGTCGCACATTCTACAGTGTTTCAGAGTGTTCAGATCAGTTCAAATTATCGGGATATTGTGAGTATGGTTTTATGCCACTTTTGGCAATATTCCAGCAATATCATAGTGGGGTACACCAGAAATGGGTTTCAACTTTCACACACTGTACCCAAATGAGAAATTGAACCCTGGCCTTTGGCATGACAAGAAACCACTTGTCTCCCACTAGGCTACCTTACTGCCCCACAACCATTGAGAAGACATGGTCATTTCTCCATTGTATAAATCTTATGGGAAAGCTGAGGGAAGCATCCACCTCTTTATATCACATGCATAACTTCCAGTCAGTAATGGTTTGTCAACTGGGATTGATCAGTATCTGGGACTTCAAACTGAGTGCACTGACTTTCAGAGGTGAGGTGAAATTGGGTTTAACGTCGTGCTTGAGAATATTTCGCTCATATGACGACGTGCGTGCGTGTGTATGTGCATGTGCGGCTGCATGCACTAGCCCAGACTGAAGCTGGTTTTATAGTGCTAGCTCACTGAGATACCATGCCGCAGTGAAGCATGAATACCCCACTCAGACACATTATAATGACTCCGAGCCGATCAGTCCTTGTTGTACCCATTAATGCCGAGCTTCAGGCAGGGACCAACAAGTACCATATTTTAACGTCTTTTGGTATGACGCGGTCGGGGATCGAACCCACGACCTTCCGCTCTCCGGGCGGACGCCACTGACTTTCAGAGGTATAACATGATGACCATGATCATGATGATAGCATTGCACTCAGCACAATATTGTAAAACAGTCTGCAAAAGTTATTTGTGAATTTTTGTATAAATAGTTATGTAAATCTACAATTGTTATTTTGGACCAGTGAAATACAGACAGGACCACTAATTATTATCCACTCACTGGTCATGTGGTCTAGTGGGACATTTTGAAAGGTTTCTTTCCATGTAAAAGGAAGCCTATTCCTCATCATGTTCATTATTGGTCATGTTATCAGTGAAATACAAGTCATATCGACCAATTCATCACATTAATTCTAACTGTATTAACACGAATTGGAAATTTTTACTGATGTTTGCTGCAGACTAAGGCCTGATTATCAGCCTCTGAGCAAGTCCAGAAAATTCATGGCATCATACTGTTCGAATTCAGAGCAATAACGCTGGAGCTTGGTTTGGCTCCATAAACGCATAACAAAATTATCCAGAATTGATACTCTCAACAAACGCTATATCTTTCAAAACAAGATGGAAAATTAATTAGTTATCCTCTCTCCTGATAAATCAAAGGGCTGGGCTCAGACAAAATTGCATGATCAATAGGATCTGGGCATACCTTTGGGATCCTACTCTGCATACTGGTGCATGAGAGACTGGGTCACCAACAGAAGCAAACAGGAAGGATTCAAACTCTACAAATGTCCAAAGCAACAGGTTCCAAAAGAAAGAAAATTAAACCTGCTTATAGCAGTACACTGTATTGTTGGGTTATGCTACATTTTGTCTTTGATGGAAGGTTTTCTACACATCGTACACAAATAGTTTAACAGCAGTATAATTTTTAACTTTTTGCCCCATGATAATAATTCTCTACCATGTTATCGTTACAAAGTTAAGTGAGCTTAGTGTCATAAGTACCAAAAGAAGACGCGTGCTGAAAAGAAACAGATTTTGCTATGGACATGGCAAAAGGACATGGTGATTTTTTCAATTCATGTTGAATTTGGTAGTATATTTCATTATCAGCAATAAAAAAAAAATTAAAACTGTCTGGCAACGGCCTGAAACAATAACATAAAACTATGAAGCCACAATTTCGTTCAGCAGCGTTAGTGGGCCTTACGTTCCATTTTCAGCATGAAACAGAGACAAGCTGATATAATAAGGCCATGCGTTAGAACTCATTTGAATTCAATTCAAGGTCCATGTATGAATCAGCACTGGCAATGAGGCTAAATGTTTATGTCATGACTGGGTCATGCAAGTTTGACACAACACTGCTGACAATATACACATATATCCATTTTATGGGCCATATATCAAGATAATTTACCGTGACATGCCCCAAAGTTTGATAACATAGCATACTATTCGGTTTATTCGTTTAAATTTTGGGTTAATAATCATCATATTTATGTTAGCAACCCGGTATCATGCGATTGTATTGACATAGAAATGCGACTTCACGCGACTGATTCTCACCGTCAGTGCGTTGAATATCCACATTAACACCAACTTTTAGACCTCCAAGATCCATGTTTTGAAGACAGGGTAAACCAGTTAACTAACACAATGATTAAGACAGATATTAGATTATTTTTCAGTTGATATTTTGTCCATCCCGTGTGTTCATCCGTTGGGATTTTCAAATCAAGCCACTGCGCATGCGTAAGACATATTTCAATTTGGTATTCGTCGATAGACGACTTTATGTTCGTCTGAGGGTCGCCTTAACAATAAAGCGATTACTTCACAGACATATTTGTTTTCCTTCCGAAATTGAAATAATGTCGCTCACACCACAAATTGCCTATTAACGTCAGAACTTTGTGTTAATATAACATTGACTGGACAGAAAGTAAAATGAACCGGCGAAAAGGGCACGGTGATTACGTTCAAGCTGGTGTCATGTGGTAGTTTATTGCTGCTTCAGACTTTACCGTTCTCCCAATGGAAATAAAACGTCACACGTACACAATGTGTGTACTTACATCAGCAGCATGTGTACTTTTACGCAGTGAGGGGTTGTTGTTTTTCTAAAATGACTGCCTTCAACTTGGAGAAGAAAACACTGTTAAAGTTTGAAATAAAAACAAAGAAAAATGATATTTTCACAATGATTAGAAAATCACACAATCGTTTACTGTTTGTAATAAAGACTACTGATCCGATGTATGTGACACAGTTCTTCATTGTTACTCTGTCATAAATCTGAATCCAAAAGGGATATAAAACAAAAATCTTATCAAAATTATTATTAGACCTCTAATTCGGATACAATACCCCGTCGGATGTAACCCAGACAGGTTCACTAAAGTGTTAAAGGTGATTTTTAATTAAATTGATCAACCATTATGATATCCGGGGTTTTTAAATCTCACCACTAAGCATGTTACATTTGGTAGATCGATGTTCATGATGTTGATCACTGGATTGTCTGGTCCAGACTCGATTATTTACAGACCTCCGCCATATAGCCTGGAATATTGCTGCGGTGTTAAACAACACGCCAGCCAACCAACATTTCGAAACGGAAGACAATAATATACTTATGTACTTCACTGTTATATATTTCAATGGTATGGTCAATTTCAAGTTGAAAGCACGCATTGCCTCAGAAATTAGTTTCCGTTAGTGAGTGTTAATACATTTACCAAGTATTACGCACGTCCGTGCGATCATATGAATAGTTCATTGAATATCTGTGCGTAGTCTTAGTGTTAGTCGAACCTTAACTGACTGACTGACTGACTGACTGACTGAGTTTGGTTTTACGCCGCTTTTAGCAATATTCCAGCTACATCACGGCGGGGGAACACCAGAAATGGGCTTCACACATTGTACCCATGTGGGGATTCGAACCCGGCGTGACGAGCCAACGCTTTAACCACTAGGCTACCCCACCGCCCCTCGAAGCTTAACACACACAAGGTGTGGAGATTAGTGGTAGAGTTTCCTCATCAAAGAATTCACATTACATCAAAGGATCGAATTCGAATTTACCACAAGAGTACACAGTGTAAAGTCATCCTTGGCATCACGGATTTTCATAATGCTGGAATACTACTAGACACGCTTAGTCTCTGAATATATATAATTTTAATAGTTCCATTTTTATTGGAAGTGAACCCAGGTGACATGGGAGATTCAGAACCTGAGGAAAGCTAGACTTGCTTCATTTAGTTCTTTAGCATTGCAGAAATGGCTGTTCGGAATGGGGAAAAATGCGGTCCAGGTACTGTGAGGCAGACCTGAATGAAACAGAAACTGCGAAGTATCACACTTGTTAGCTCGTTGTTCTGGAAGTGTTAGAAGCGGCTGTACAATCACCATTACTGCCTTGAAATACTTGTTGAATTGAAGTTGTTCTTTATAGCATGGCTTTCATTATCAGAGAACATATAATTTATTATATGGCCTCTGGTTATATCTGAAGGACAAGAAGACAATGCAATTCCGGTTGTTGCTACTTAGAGATCAACTTCTCTTTAATAAGTGCGAAATAGAATGGGGCTTTTTTTCAATAAATCCAGAATAGTTGTTACAAAAAGGATATTCCAAAAGACTTTTGCATTGTAACTGTGTTTCGAAACTGAATTCTTTATTTTGGGGGATATTTAAGTGACGTAAAGGCGATGACAGCAACAATGGACAATGTTCTCCATACATTCGTATGACCATTTGTAAGCAAACTTTGCCGCCAACAGTATTTACCCACAGTTCCACACAGACAGCAGCTACGTCGAACTGAACTTTGAAAATTGTGTTTGTGAATGAACAAGAGAGCTGAAAGTGCTCATCCATACACCTGCATCATCCCAAAATCATTCTTGATTTTCTTTCTGCAGACTTTCTGCACATGTCATATCTGATACTTACATCACTGCCATCCACCGATGGCTTCCTAAACTTACCGCCAAGAAACATCACCTATGTGCCGACTCGATTACCCAGTGTTTTATATCCCCTCTAATTGATATGGTGATGTTGATGAGTTTAGGTTTACGCCGATATTAGCAATATTCCAGCAATACCAAGGCGGGTGACACCGCCAAGTTGGGAATCGAACCGCCCGGGTCTTCGGCGTGGCGAGCGAACGTGGGTAACCACTAGGCTACCCCATCGCCCCCTAAAGAATATGAAAATGTATTGTAATAGAGTGGAGAACGAATACACACGATCATCGAATATGTGCACAAGGTCGAATTACTATTTTCATATATTTACCTTATAAGTATCTTCGAAGGAAGACAAAAATATATCACAGGGCTTTCATCCACAGGGGCTCGAATCAATGTTTGGACAATACCTTGTGTATTTTCTGTAATGAGTGTAGCGGTAGAAGTTTCTAAAATATTCATTTCTTCACCGATTTCGTTCAAATGTTAAAAACATGTTAATCATAACATATGAAAACAATATACAATTGCAAAAGTCTACGTTTTTATTTTTATAAATTATTGTCCAAACAGTGATTCGAACCCCTGTGCTTCCATCGCCCAGAGAGAAAGAAAAAATCTTGAGATCCCGGGGTCCACGGACCGCCTGTGAACCCAACGCATAATTGCAAATCTCAGAAAAGTCACTGAAGACGATTGTGTGATTTTTAACGCATTTGTTGTATTTTACAGACAGACAGACAGACAAGTTTATTCAGTAAAAGGCCACAGGCCCATCATACAGTCATTTGCATATGACATAGATAGTTTAGTGCACATGATGTGTACGAGGAACATTTCTAAGGTGCTGAAGTACATGATACAGAAAAATACTGACATCTCTTATGATACAATCATTATATGTTTTCACAATGTTAATAAAAGTGGCATTTGGATAAACAATCAGTCAAATATTTCTGAATATATCTTAACCTTAAATCAGAAAAAGCGTTCACACTTAAGGAGTACATGGAATTCAGCTTCAATAACATTTTTGTCATCCAATTTACAAAATAAACATAATCTCTTATTGTAATTAACTTTATTGTATCTTCCAGTTTCAACAGCTTAATTAAAATGACCACATCTAAATTTAGAGAGTGCAAATCTGAGATGTAAAGGAATATCAGAATTTAAATACCTTTCCACATTTGAAAGTGTGAGTCCAGCGTTAAACAACAAACGTATTGTATTTTCATATGAACCCAGTTTGGCGTGATATGTATCAGTTTTGTCGTAAGAGCGTGACGTGAGCAGTAAATGCTTGAGTCTCAAGCAAAATGCTTGAGAGAATGATATCACTTCATGGGCGGATCCAGGAATTTCGAAAGGGGGTTGGGGGGTGGAGGGTCAGGGGTTTTGAACACCCTGAACCCCCCATTGGCTCCGCCAACGCAAAACAAATCTTCAATGTGGTCTTAAGTCATTTTCAAAGGGGGGCTTCGAAAACACACACACACACACACACACACACACACACACACACACACACACACACACACACACACACACACACACACACACACACACACACACTGTCTGGATCCTGGATCCGCCAATGCATAACATTTAGGCTTGGAGTCTTTCCACGTGGACAAGGCGCCCTACATCGGGTCAGGAGCTCCGTTGTTCGAATCACACACGCACGGACGCACGGACTCCTCAAACATACTGGATCCGCCAATATGTGCCATATATAGGCAATCGTTTACAGAACTGTCAGACGCAGAAGAACATAGTCTTGAAGCAAGGTTGATGGTGGCTGAAAACGAACCAACAAGGTGTTTAGATGGTGATGTATTTCATAAGTGTATCCGCATCAGTGGGTACAACAAGGACTGGTCAGCTCGGAGTCAGTATAATGTGTCTGAGTGGGGTATTCATGCTTCACTGCGGCATGGTATCTCAGTGGGCTAGCACTATAAAACCAGCTAAAGTCTTGGCAAGTACAAGCAGCCGCACATACACATACACACGCATGCACGTCGTCATATGAGCGAAATATTCTCAAGCACGACGTTAAACCCAATTTCACCTCACCTCACCTCACCTCACTTCATAAGTGTATCACATGCAGTGATGCTCTGGACCCTAAGTGTGCGGTGCCTCGGGGACATTTGTCTGTGTAGAATTGGTTACTAGCTTTGTTTGTTGTTTAACGCTGCACTCAACAACATTCCAGCTATATGTCTGTAAATAATCAAGTCTGGACCAGACAATCCAGTGATCAATAGCATGAGCATCGATCTAGCCCCCTTTTTGTCCTGAAAGTTTATTAAAAGACCATTGAAACTCTCGTAGAAACGGGTAAAAATGAACTGTGCGCGCACACACACACACACCTTTACTCAAAAAGCTGTATCCGCCCCTGACATGTGTCAACCAAGTCAGCGAGCCTGACCACTCGAACCCGTTAATCGCCTGTTGCGACAAGCATGGGTTACTGAAGACCAATTGGGTAACCCGGATCTTCACGGGTATCCAAATGTATAGCGCACAAGCCGTCCTTGTTCCCATGGGTGTTGGAACATGCACAGGAATCAATGATTCGAATTCGCTGCCATATCTGATTCCACAGGTCACTGGTTCCAATTCCAGATCCAGGGTTATGATGCTGGATTTGTGGACACCATCGTTGGTGTCTTTAAAACAAATTGGTAATCATCAGCGTCAGTAAACAGTTTTCACAGAAATTATAGAAAATCTTTGTT